AGTTATGGCAATGTTTTTTCTTCAGTAATATTAGCATCTCAGCATTTGCAGGGGTTAGTTTATTACGTTTATCATCCTGAATAGTCCCGCTGCGCTAAACAGCCGCTCACTGTCTACACTTGTGCATGGAGCGCAGAGGAAAGCAAGCGCTGCTTTGGCCAATGCAGGGAAGGTGCTTTTATTTTCCTTTCAATAAACAAGCGGCTGACAGCTCCGAGGCGTAACTACGTCAGACCAGTTTCATTTTTAAGTCCAGATAATAGTTGGAGTGTGGATATGTTATCCTGCAATTGGAAATGAGCACAGTTGATCACTAAAAAGTAAAACTCTCGGTGCATCCGATTTCTTAAATCAACCTTCTTACCCTTCACTTCCCATCCTTATCATTCCTATTGTCACTGGAGGCATATAATTGGCCTAAGTCGCTTTTAAAACATCTTAAAATGTGTTACATATATATTGGCTAATTCTGCAGCTGCCCTCAGCAGAGGAAGAATAACTTAGACTTGAACAAACTTTATTGATCCACAAGGAAAATTGCGTTGTCACCGTAGCTTGCATAGTATTCCACAATAAAAATAACAATGAATCAAGGAGGCTTTCTGATGTAATCGGATGCAGTCAAATCCTGGGCTAACGATCGTCCCCTACCTTGAGGCTGGCCTCACTTGGTGATTTTTCAAGCCGTGGTTGAGCATGATAGACCCGTATTTGTTTTCGAAAACATAAATTATGACCCATGTTATCCCAGCGATAAACACGAGCGAGAAAACGGTATGATTGCACTGCACAGCATTCTCCCACTGTGAGCTGAGGCATTTATGTCACCCAAGTGAGGTTTGCCTCACAGCACGCCGCTGTAACCAAAATTTGACAAAAATCTGCAATTTCGAGTTAAAATTCATTTAAATTCAATTAATATAGTTCAACAGTAGGTATCTCAAAGGAGAGTTACATTTATATGATACAATAGCACAAATCACTTGGTAAATAGTGACCACGTATTATTGTTTTGATTAGGGCAGCAGGATACAACAACAAAATATTGTTATTGCAATATCCATATCAAAAAGATGCGCTGTTAAAATTGTGCTTATTAATACTCATTAATGTTGTGCTTATTTTGTTATTTGTCTCTTGCGTTTCAATGCAGATTGCAATTTCAGGTGAAAACTATCGCAATAATATTGTTATCTTAATACTAAACACTCATATCTCATAACACTCATAACACTAATTTCCAATATCGTGCAGCCCTAGTTTCGATGTAATTATCTTCCTTTCCATGATTGCCTCCGCTACCGCTCGTCACTGATCGCCATAGTGTGATTTGTACAGAAGTTAGCTGGAGGCCCTATGGGCCTTAGTTCTGACGGCGTTTGCTTCTAACTGGGACAGATTTGTTACTTACTGCTAATTTACACATCACGCGTTACAGCACGTACGCGTTATACGCGCAGCAGACGCGCGTAACTTTTTTCCATGTTAACCTATGATGATATTTACACTTCTAGCGTTATACGCGTATGACGGACATGTGACGCGAAGCTGCGCTCTAATTTAGGATGGATTTCTAATTTTGTGCGCGCACCAACTAGAGGTGCAACGGTTCATCACTGATCCGTGATCCGTTCGGTTCAACGTCTTCGGTTCGGTACAGACGTGATCCGCGGTTTGATTTATGAAAAAAAAGTTGTGCGCACGTTGTTCAGTCCACACACAGCGCGGTCATTGCGAGCAGAGGAACGGAGATGCTTGAAAGCCCTGCGTCTTAAATCCCCAGTATGAGAGCATTTTGGCTTCACTGTAACTATACTGATGATTAATATTCGACAAAACTGTCACGGTGTGTAAGCACTGTGGCACAAGAAAGACATGAGTGAAAAAAGCGTCTCAACGACCACCTATTGTCGCGGCATTTAAGCAGCTCCTTTACGCACAGTCAGACCGGGCTAAAGTCAACTCTCCCGCGCATCCTCACCTGCGCTCACGACTGACGCTTGGAAGTCCCGCGGAACCTATAATAGATCGATCAGCGGAACCGCTCACTTCATCACCGCAGACTGGGAGATGAAAAGTCTGGCACTGAAGACACGCCCCCTCTACGACAGTCACACTGTCACACAGCGCAGGTACTGACACAAGCAGCGGAGGAATGGAAGACAAAGGCCCAGTACTAATATCCCAGTCACAACTGATAATGCCAAAAATTAAATAAATGCAGTGAATGAGGCTGGGCCCAGAATGGACCCCCTCCTTGGGAGAATCAGCAAGGTGGTGTAATATATGAGGGTAAATATCCTCATAAAGTGCCTTCTTATGTTGCACTTTGTGTTGTTTTTCATTAAATATGTTAAAAAGACATAATTGGATGGATGGAATATGCCTTCCATCCATCCATCCATTTCCTTCCCCTTAATTCATTTCTAGGTCAGGGGGGGCAGTCAGAGCAGGTGCCGAGTCCACATGAGCTGTGTTTATTAAAAAGACAAAACTTTTTTTTAGAAAAATGAACCGAAAAATGAACCGAACCGTGGCTTCTGAACCGAGGTACAAACCGAACCGTGATATTTTCAAACCGTTGCACCCCTAGCACCAACGCGTCTCCCATTGAAATCTCATGTAAAACTTTATTTTTCTAGCGGTCCTTGGCTTTAGATCACATCTGCACGCACACTGCACTTATGTCTAAACATCAGCAGGAGGAGCAGCAGGTTTTACAGTGATTCTGGACATCGTTTTTTTTCTTTCATAAAGTCTCGCGTCTGGCCAAACCAGCGCACAGAGACCATGAAGACAAACGCATGCATGTCTATCTCTTATACAGTCTATGGGAAGGACTCAAAACAAACCCAATGGGGAAAAAATATTTTCAGAAGGCTCAAAAACAGCAGCAGCCTCAAGACTCAACTAGGGATGTAAAAAACTATGAATTTAATGACCGATCACCAGCCTCACTAACCGGTTGAAACCGGTTAACCGCGTAGTTTAAAATATTCAACGTTCTTTGAAATAACAGCCATTTCGAGCCGCGTACTTCTCATAAGTGCATCTATGTGTTCTACGGGATCAGAGCAGACACAGCGGCGCCAAAACCCGCAACCGCTACCTTTGCGCACAGAGAACTGCTTTTTTAATCTTCCCATTCTTCTGTGGATGGTATGGGAGATTTGCGTACTTTTCCGTACTGCCTCAGCCGTGGTTCCATCCCCATAGTACCCGTGCCATGACGTCACGTCGGCCCACTGCCTTACACTGATTGGTCAACGAGTGTCGTCACTGGAAGCAACATCTGACACTTTGGGAAAGACAACTCAACCGCCATCTTTAAAACCGGCTGCTCTGCTCGGCTCTGTTTCGGTTACATTAAGTCCTCCTCACTCCAGAGAAATGGAATCACACAGAAAGCTCCAAAAGTCCTGGTCCTGGTCGGTGGACGAGGTCCACACGTTCCTCTCTTCAGGCCAAAAGAAAGAATTCAAAGGCAGCTCGAGCCTCAACACAGTTTTCAGGGAGATCACCCAGCTCTGGACTAGTCTGTGGTAATCCTGGAAATAACTGGTTAGCTACTGGTTAAAGCTCTCACTGAAATGTATTTACTGTGTAAATGTTCGATTGTCTGTTGTACACAGTGAGCTAGCTACATTTAGCTTCATTTAGCTATCGATAGCAGCTAAGCTAACGTCCTCCCTGTGCTACTGTGCTTTATCTCGTATTATCTGCAGTGCTTGTATTTAAGTTGTGTGTATATTTGTGTGATAATCCCTTCCCATAAGTGTGGAGATTACCAACGAGTAATGAGTGACCGGAGTATTCTCGTCTGGACCTGGTCTGGACCTGGTCTCAGACATACGTACTTTTGACTTTGTAAACTGTTGGTTTTGCACTTTACATTTGTTTTCAATAAATCTGTGATTGTATCCCAAGACTGTGTTTCATTCATTTATTATTATTATTGTAGTTGAGGTTTGGGTATCGATTGTTTGTCTGGTCTCGGAGTCTGCTGTAGTCCGGACCGAGTCCGGACTAGCCTAGCCTAGCTTAGCCTCGCCGCTAACTCGCTAACTCCCCTATGGCTGCCGCTGTCTCTCCCTCGGTCCTTTACTGCTCGAGTTGCCATATGACGAGTTTAAACCCCGGATCCTTCTCTGAGGGTAGTGATAGATGTGTTAAGTGTTGTACAGTTGTAGCTTTGGAATCCAGGGTTAGTGAGTGAGCAGAGTGTCGAGCTAGCGCTAGCATTAGCTATAGCCTAGCAGTATCCTCGGACATGCAGCCCTCCTCCTCTGCTACACAGGCTGCTGTTGCTAAAGGTCCCATTCAGACATTCAGATTGTACAGAGCAGTCAGCACCATTGACTTCACAGTGTCAGAGTCATTCTTGTGCTGAATTTTCTATTAAACACTTGCTTTGATATTATAATAAATCCATGCACCGCACCAGTACTAGTTACGCGTCACACGTAAATGACGTGCTATGACAACGCTGAGGACATACTGGGGGTACTATTTTTGATGGAAAAGCACGCGAACTGGGCCATGGCGCGCCGTGTAGAGTCAAAACGTACCGGACTCTGACTGTGGAAAAGCGGCATATGTGTGTACGTGTGTGTAAAGATAGCTCCAATGTAGTTCTGACCCGCGCCAGTGTGCAACTTTGGCGGTAACAGAGGGGAGAGATGATGCGTATGGAGGGGGGGAAAGTGTGTGTGTGTGTGTGCGCGTGCATGTGGTGCGTGCGGCATGAGAGTCGCCCCGGAGTTTACAAATACATTGGCGCACACAGCTAGAGACAGACCCGCTCGTCACACCGTGCAAATAGGGCTTAAAATAGCGTTAATAAGAGATGTCCCCTCTCCCCTTTTTCTTTTTTTTAACCAACAGCTTTGACCGGTTAGCGCTGTGACGGTCAACCACTGGTTAAACGGTCACCAATTTACATCCCTAGACTCAACAGACGTGTTCATGTTTCTGCTCCTAATTCGTAGTGTTGCTTTCAGGCGTGTTTCGACTGTGCAGCCAAGAACCCAAGCTGGGCCAGCATCCCATACGGCGTGTTTCTGTGCATCGACTGCTCCGGAATCCACCGTTCTCTCGGAGTTCACCTCAGCTTCATCAGGTGAATCTGTCAAACTATTATTCAACTGTACATGATGGAAGGTATGTAGCAGCCTGTAGCCAAACGTGAGTGTCTGTGTGCTAACCAAGGCGTGTGTGTGTTCAGATCCACCGAGTTGGATTCCAACTGGAACTGGTTTCAGCTCAGATGTATGCAGGTTGGAGGCAACACAAATGCAGTAAGTACTTTTATAAGAGTGGCTTACATAAGGGTGGCTTCCATAAGTATCAATACAACTCCAGTAACGTGCAGTCTGCATCTTATTAGAAACATTGTAGACTTGTAAAAAAGCCCTGTGAGTCACTATTTCTTGTTTTGGGCTGAGAGCTGATTGGCTAAGTGTGGGTCTCTCGCTGGTCTGTCTTTTTGGTGTCTCTTTCTGGCCTCAAAAAGGATTTCTTTCTTGTGAATTGCTGCAGTCATGGTTTGTTTCTATTTTGGCAGATGGCTTTTTTCCGCCAACACGGCTGCACCACGAATGACACCAATGCCAAATACAACAGCCGTGCGGCACAAATGTACCGCGAAAAGATTCGGCAGCTCGCCAACGCTGCTTTGTCCAAGTACGGGACTGACGTGAGTACAGCTGCTGCTGGGGTAGAAGAAAAGAGCTGATTTGAAGATATAGGGTTGGGCGACATGGCTGAAAACTATATCACAATAAATACATTTGTCGTGTCGGCTAACACACGTTAGCATCAAATATTTAGTCTCAGGGGAATGACAACTAGGCTGGAGGCACATGTTCACAAGCACAGTGTCCCCCATCGACAGTCCTGGTTTAGCTCCTGTTTTGGCCGTTTTGGAGTGTTTTCAGTGTCTCTGGTGGAAAAGAGGAAGTCGAGTCTTTGTACCCACTGCCGCACATGCTATCCCTCGCACGGACATGCATTGAAACACGACTTTAGATCCTCGGACGTAACGCATGGTCCGCTTGTTGATGTGAGTTTTTCCTTTTTTGTTGCATTTCCCCGAATGCCTTGCGGGTCATGCTCGGCCGTGATAGGTCGAGAAGCCTTTGCCTACATACCCCAGAATGCCACGCGCTTCTGACTCTGCTTTACTTCCTGTTTTTACGTCCTGTTTTTTCTGACTGAGTGAAGTTAAACTATCGAACATTCTACCGACCCCATTTTCTATGTATATCGTCGTTATCGTTTTATTACCCAGCCTATGAAAGAGGCAAACAGGCATTTAAAACCTAGTGGCAGAACCTCTCTGGTCTCTCTCTGGTCTTTGTCTGGTCTCTTTGGTCTATCTGTAAATGTTGATCTAAAGATAGCTTTTTTTGAGTGCATTAAACACTGCTCATTGTCCTGTTTGGGGGCTAGAAAGAATAGCTGGTAACATGTATGGAGATAGCCTGGCCTTAGCCATCTGTAAACTGCTGTTAATTGTTATTTCCTTACATATACAGGTCCTTCTAAAAAAAATAGCATATTGTGATAAAGTTCATTATTTTCTGTAATGTACTGATAAACATTAGACTTTCATATATTTTAGATTCATTACACACAACTGAAGTAGTTCAAGCCTTTATTGTTTTAATATTGATGAATTTGGCAAAAAAGTAAAGAAAAACCAAAAATCCCTATCTCAGAAAATTAGCATATCATGAATAGGTACTCTAAACGAGCCATTAACCTAATCATCTGAACCAACAAATTAACTCTAAACATTTGCAGAAGATTCCCGAGGCTTTTAAAAACTCCCGGCCTGGTTCATTACTCAAAACTGCAATCATGGGTAAGACTACCTGACTGCTGTCCAGAAGGCAATCATTGACACCCTCAAGCAAGAGGGTAAGACACAGAAAGACGTGTGTCGACACCTGAGCGAATAGGCTGTTCCCAGAGTGCTATATCAAGGCACCTCAGTGGGAAGTCTGTGGGAGAGAAAAAGTGTGGCAGAAAATGCTGCACAACCCCAAGAGGTGACTGGACCTTGAGGAGGATGGTGGAGAAGGGCCGATTCCAGACCTTGCGGGACTTGCGGAAGCAGTGGACTGAGTCTGGAGCAGAAATATCCACAACCATCGTGCACAGGCGTGTGCAGGAAATGGGCTACAGAAGCCACAACCAGAAGCAGAAGCGCCTGACCTGGGCTACAGAGAAGCAGCACTGGACTGTTGCTCAATGGTCCAAAGTACTTTTTTCGGTGGAAATCAAGGTGCCAGACTGTGGAGGAAGACTGGGGAGAAGAAAATGCCAAAATGCCTGAAGTCCAGTGTCAAGTACCCACAGTCAGTGATGGTCTGGGGTGTCATGTCAGCTGCTGGTGGTGGTCCACTGTGTTTTATCAAAGGCAGGGTCAATGAAGCTGGCTATCAGGAGATTTTGCAGCACTTCATGCTTCCATCTGCTGAAAAGATTTATGGAGATGAAGAATTCCTTTTTCAGCATGACCTGCTCAGTGCTCACAGTGCCAAAACCACTGGTAAATGGTTTACTGACCGTGGGGTTACTGTACTCAATTGGCCTGCCAACTCTCCTAACCTGAACCCCATAGAGAATCTGTGAGATATTGTGAAGAGGAAGTTGAGTCACCAGAATCAACACTGTGGATGAACTTAAGGGCACTATCGAAGCATCCTGGGCCTCCATAATGGTGCTTTCAGACCGGATCATGCGTTGCGTCGGATTTCAATGCAAAGTCTATGGTGACGAGCGTTCGAGCGTCACACGTGTAGGGACCTCTCGGCACGCACGGACGGACTGTTCAGTAGACACGCACGGACTTGGCGGGAAAGTCAAAGGGGAGGAGCACGAGCGAAAAATCAACGCCCACAGGAGATGGATTCTGCTCATCCTTTTCTTGGGACGTTCATGCGACAACCAATCAGAGAGCAGCAAAGTAGTCACGGGGACATTGGCGGACTGAACGAGCAGACTGAAAATACTCGTAAACAGCCAAAACGGGACCCACACCAGGCTTCACCAGAACTCAAACCAGGGTTGACAATGGGGGACTGTGTGCTTTTGAAAATATGTGTTGTCATGCTCCCGTGACCTTATGCAACTGCTTCGAGTGTGTTCGCCGATGCGGAAATACCGAATAATGATATGAAAAAACGTATGGCGCACCTCTGTGAACACATACTATTGTTATATAAAGCCTGTGGAAAGTCTCTGTTCAAAGACACGCTGCATATTGGAGAAGATCTGTACACAAGAAGCCGCTAGCTAAACTCTGTTAGCATCAGAGCCGGCCGGCTACTTCCGGCACTTCCGGTCCGCGTCAGGGCCTCTCGGTGTGAAGCCCGTGCGTCTGAAAACTAACCTGTCTCAGAGGCAGCTGAGGCAGCAGACCGCCACAGAATGGGGCCTGTTTCTGAATGATATTGATTAGAGTGGAATGATAAGTACGAACTGCTTGTCACAGGTAGCCTTCCCATTAGGGTTGCCAACTTGAGAATAAAAAAATAAGGGACACCATTTGGGTGGATCGGGTTGAGCACTTTTTAGTCCTAATTTCAGTCTACAAAGTAATCATGGAATTTCATAATCACAGTTTTTAGATTGTAATTTAATGACTTTATATAAAAAAACAAACAAATCCTTAGTCAAAAATGAAATTGAATAAATAGGTGGAACTCTTTGGCTGGTTAAGGACTTAATGCATTCTTATTAGTAATAAAAAAAATATATAAAAAAGAAATACTGTAACATACATTATTTATGAATGTTACAATAAAGACCAATTTCTGTAACAGCAAATAAAAAAAGAAAAACATGTATTCATTAAAAAAACTCACAAATCAAAGTCTGTAGCACTTTGATATGGTCATCATTATTTATATTGTCTGAGAGTTTTGTGCAGGTACTGCAGGTTTGTGGCTTCAGTAAAAGCTATTGTTTGTTTACAAAGCTGGTCTGGATATTTGTTGACGGTCCCCAAGTGCTTTTCTCGGCGCTTGCAGTGCATTGGATTCAGAGGATTTCTCTGCATTAAAACCGCATTGAATTTTTAAAATCAACGTAGAGATGATCATTTTAGCACAATTACTTTTGTTTAACAAAGTAGCTTTCATGAGCTATTGACCGCGGAAGTCCAAATCTGGGAAAATGACGCTACTTTACCAAACTTCTGACGTGATGGTGCTGCGGGCACGGCCCACGCTGGTGATTGTCAACATTAAACCAACGTCTGTGATCAAGCCTACGCCCCTTTGACAGTGATTGGCCGAAAGGTAGACGCTTAAACTGATCATTACTAGTGTGTGCGTGTGACATGCAGTGAGTGAGTGATGCATTTAAGGTGGCTCTGAAAATACGGGACCGAAGCCGTCCCGTATCGGTTCAATACGGGACGCACATAGTTTTTCTATAATACGGGACAATTCCGTATTTCAAGGGACGGTTGGCAACCCTACTTCCCATGTTCTCTTACAGTAACCGCTTATGTTGCGGTTCTTCACAGTTTTGTCTGTACATTTTATGTATGAACCCAGACCAAGATAAAGTATATGTTGTGGGGGTCATATAGTTATAAAATTCTAAACTCTGCCACAATAACCTGCACCTCTTTGTCCCCAAGGGAAATGATACCCCAATGTGCACAAAAGAGACAGTAATTTAACACATGCTCAAACATAAAGTAGTATTTATTGTACACAAGTACAATAAACAATATACAATGAAATTGCACACGATATAGAACACTAGTAATACTAACAAAAGTCTGAAGCTAAATTCAGCTAACTAATCTAACAATAAAAGCAACTAACTAATGCCTAAAACTCCAATATTCAACAACTACGCTATTAACACTACACAATTATCTATAATACAAACAGCTATGCAAATAAAAAAATCCCTAAATGCTATAACTAATTGCAAACCTGACAATCAATGAAAACACTCCCTATATTCCTTCTCCAACTCGATACGGGGACGTGAACAAGACTGGGTCGTTTATATACCTCAGAGCTGCAGGGCAACTGACGTCAGGAACAACTGCAGACGTCAGAAACAACTGCTGTGCCAATGTTGGCGCCAGATTCAAAATTAAAATGTAGTAAATACAGGTCGCCTGCAGATGGCGCCTCACTGACAGAAAGTTGATCTTTCAACTAATTTGCGCCAAAGTGACAAAATTATGACTAGGATATTTAGACAACACTATTGGACACTCATTTATACCGTTTATCAGCAAAAAAAAGTGGATTTGAGGGTGAGTTGCCCTTTAACAAAGTTCTGATTTTTTTTTTTTTTTTTTTTTTTTTTTTTTTACAGCTGTGGATTGATTCCTTGTCTGGAGCCGGTACTCTCGCTCCAGAGAAGAAAGAGGCAGACTTCTTTGCCGAACACACGCAGGTTTGTTTATGGTCCTGTTTGGATCAGTGTCAGAAAGAATTGTCTGAAAACACAGGCAATGCTGTGTTTTCGAGCCCACCATGAGATCTTCACCACCGACGAAGGTCAGCCCACCATGAGACCATGGTAGATAGGAAAAGGCTGTAATGTACAATACTTATGAATAGTTATTTGTTTTGATATCAAATTTTACTTTATAAACCTGTTGAATGTTAATGTTTAATGTGAATGTGCAGTAAACCTGGTGTAGAGGGTTGAAAAGACTCGCCAAACTCTTGGCATTGCGTCCGGAACCAAGAGAAATAATCTATCCTGCATTGGACGAAATTCCGAGATTGATAGAGAGAACTCTTTTGTCTGTCTCCACCACACACATTTTATACTGTTGCATAAGTGCTGAACTCCACCGGCCGCGTCTCCGTTTATGCGTGTAGGCTGCTGCCCGTCAGACGTCCGTAAAACGGAATAGTGACCACACCGGCTTCAGCAGCACGCAGCTCTGGCTGCGCGTTTATCAGCACCCCGTGAGGCTTTGTTTTAAATAAAAGAAGCGGCGTGTGATTTGCATGAGCTGTGGCTATGACCTATGCAAAGCATGGCATTTCAAGATTTTTTTATTTGTCAAACCAAGTGAATGGTTTGAAATTATATTTCTCTCATCCTTGATTGTGGAGCGGGGGGTGGGGGAAGAGGGGTGGGAGGGAGGGCAGGAAGTTCAGCTTCCTGATGACCTTGTGAATGAAACTGTTTTTATGGTTGACTGGAACTGTTCCGTAAATTCTGCAGTCTCCTCCCTGAAGAGCCTGTGTGATGGGTGCGTAGGGTCCCTGGTGATTCTGACGGCTTTGCGGGTGAGACGGGTGGAGTACATGTCCTTAATGGTGGGGAGAGGGGCTCCACAGATCTTCTCTGCTGCTCTCACGATGCGCTGGAGGCTCCTTCGGCAGGAGGCAGTGCTGGTGCCGTGCCACCCAGTGAGGGAGCTGGTCAGGATGCTCTCTACAGTCCCTCTGTAGAAGTTGCACACAACGGAGGCCGGGACTCCTGTAGCGCGTCTTGTGACGCCTCCACTGTGCTGCAGATGCGTGGGGCCCTCGGTGACCTGTCAGCGCTTCAGAAGATGATCTCTGGATTTGTAGGTCTTAAATACTGCTCAAAAAGCCTTTAGCTCAGATGCTAACTGTGTGTTTACTTTTAAAAACACATCCTCTGTTCATTGCTAGCAGTAAAAAATCCGCTGAACTCCACAAAAACATGGCAAATATGTACAACAACATCTTGCAAAACAATGCGGATCACAACTGCAAATGCAGTTTGCAGAAAAGGGTAGAAACGTCACCTTGTCAAGAGAGAGAGAAGCCGCAGCATGTTCATGCGCCGCCATGGTAACAAGGACTGTCATATTGTAGCATATTGTAGCATTGAGGATGAATGAGGCAAAACTTATTGAAAGCAATTGGTAAAAAGGGGAGAGAGAAAAGAACTCCAACATATCCAGGATTTTTTAAAAGCAAGTCAATATTAACATTACACAAAAAATAATCGGCAGATTTACGATCTGGAAACAATTATTTAAATTTAATACATGAAAAAAAAAATGTGTTAATAATAACACTTATAACCAAGGTCTATAGGCATATATCAATACATGTATAATTATGTAGTAAATATGTTTCCTTTGTATTTCCAACGCAAAACGGACCATACAAGCGTCGACGTACGTAAAAAATAGGATTGTTTCTATTTCGTCCGCCTGCGTCCGTTGCACCCTGCGTGGACGCGCTGCTCCCTACGCGCGTCATTCGGATGCATGTGGTAGGGAGTGGAGCCACTTCCATTCACCCTCATGGAAACAACGGAGATGAAACGGACACGTTTGGACGGATACGTAGTACGTTTTACGCAGCCGGTGGAGTCGGGGCTTCACACACATCAAAACTGAAATGAACATGGATCTGACGCACTAAATGATCGTGAACTCATTATATAACTCTCTATATGATTGTTATGTAATGACCGCACATTCATATAATGACTTCAAAATTAATACAGTGGTTTCCACATGTGAGTGAGCACTCTTCAGTCCAGAAGTTCCTCTCTTGTTTGAAGATGACGTACATTGGTCATGTGTAGCTCAACCTTGTTAGTGACACGGACCGGTTTAACGTCAGACAATAATGGCACGGACTGGCACTTAATGTGGGAAAATCCAACTACACTGTTCACAAGTTTCAACAATCCAAATTATCCAGGCAACAAGCATAAAACAGGCAAAACACACAGAATCCCCACAGAGCAATTGCCAGAATACTGTTTAACTGGTGGTGAGGGAAGACTCAATGCGGAGTCTTCATTTTGTATTAGCCTAGCTCCACAGGTTTGCTTGTTGATAAACTTTTATTCCCTTCGGCTTTTGGCCTCAGCTCTGCCCTGGCTCATGATGAAGTTTTGCTCCAACTCGCTCTGATGTAAAAGTAAACTCTAGCTCAGTAACCGTTTGTGTCACACTTACCATTCTCTGTGATCCTGGTGTTTATATTGTCTTTGTTAATCCAGGTATGAGCCATATAAGGATTTATCAATCTGATGCCCCTGTTACCGCAAGAAGCTAATGCCTGCCGAACAAATGGCTCCAGCTAGCTTATGCGCAAACACTTTGATGTCACTCTCACCAATTTCTCTCTCCCCCTTTTCCCATTTTTTTTTTCTTACGTCTGATCACACCAGCTCACATACATGTGATTTTTATTGCTTCTGTCCTCTACACTTTATCAGCCGTGTCCCTGTGCGCTCTGCCGGTGTGTACACAGCTGCGTGACGCGAGCCTCCTCTGCTGAGGAGAGGCTTGTCATTCGCTGCGCATGCGGTTTGTGTGAGCCGTAAACGACAAGGTTTCTCTTTTCGTCTCACACTCTCTTTATCATGTTCTTTTAGATTCAGATTTCTAATGACTGGAACATGGCTTCTCCCACGGAACCCGAGCATAATGATGCCTCCCTTTCCTCACTGCAGACTGACCTCAGTCCAAAAGTGCAGGATGACCCTCGTAAGTCCTTCATAAGATTTATGGTCAAACAAGTTTCCTATACTTTACAGAAATATAATGTTTAACAGAGCCAGAAGAGGGGCCCAGTATCGACGGGTTGAGCACGTCTCCAAAAACCTCCATTGGTGAGTCCATACATACTCTACTCTACCTTACTCTCTCTCTACCTTTCATCTACTCCAACAAAATCATATAACCACTGGTATAACATGAGTTACATATAGTCAGAAGAAAACTTGTATTGCAATTTGTTTCACTACTAGCCTTATTCTCACAAATGCTTACATCCTTAAAGGTTCTTTTAAGGAACTACATTTTTTGCCTTTGTCAAAAAATTATCTTTTTAGTTCAGAAAAATATTGACTTAAAGGGTTAAATATATCTTAGATATAAACCGCATGCATTATGACAAGTGCAAATGCAGAAGTAGGATTACCAAAACCCTGGTTTATCGCGGGGGTTATGTGTTCTCAAAATAGTCACAGATCTATGTTTTAAGGCTGTATAACCCCTCTCCACACACTTAATACACTTTTCTAACCACCTCAATTTTACGACTGCTGAAGTGCGATTGCATAGATATCAAACCTGTTGGTTGTAGGTCTGAGCGCTGCTGCAGCTGTTGAAAGCTATTCTACCTACCTATGTAAAATACAGACGCAGAAGACTTGGGCACAAGCAGGACTGAGGGCTATGAGAAGACCAGAGAGAGACACTAGAGGGAGAAAGAGATTGACCAGAGAGGGGCGCGGGGATATTTTTTGTTTTCACCAATTTGATTTATTTATGGAAATATAGTTTAGACTTCACTCTAGTAACAACAGCCTGAAGAAGTAATACGTCAGGCCAGAGCAGAAGATGATGTAATGTTCTTTGACTCATAGTCTGTTTTTTTTAAATAATTTTTTTTCTGGTTTTGATCAAACTATAATTTATTTATTCATTCATTTAAAATGTATGTAGACTTCACAAAACCATTTATCTCTTATTTATTTATTCTTGCCATATTTTTGCTTTATTTCCCCAAGCTTTTTGTTGTTTTGTTGTTGTGTTTTCCTTTGCACAAATGAGGAGCGTTTCTTAAAGTCTGGAGTTTGTCAGAAAAAAAGAGAGCAAGGTACATGATTTGAAAATAACGACCCAAGTTAATTCAATTATGAGAGTGTCCAGGACATGGCTGAAAAATTCAACATTGAGATTAAACCACTGCAGTATAGCGCATGGAGCAACAGGCATAAACAAACGCTCACTGAAATGCTTCTGAAAGTTAAAAAAAGACAACAACTATGACTGGCATACAGCATTAGACTGGGCACTCATAGCGAAGACCTCAATGCACAATGTACATAGGTATAGCCCCTATCAACTAGTGTTTGGACAGAATCCAAAACTTCTGTCAGTGCTCACTGACAAACGCCAAGCCCTGGAAACAAGCATTACTCCTGCATTGCTCAACACATGACAACACTACATGCTATGAGAAAGGCATTCAAAGAGGCAGAAATTCCGTCAATACAAGCGGCGTGAGCGGGAGAGAAGTCTATAGGAGTTAGTGCGCGGACGTAGCGCTCCTTGTATTATTACGCCTCACAATATAGTACCCCTTTTTATCCGCTGAGAAAATCTACATGTTACATTTCTGTGTTACTATAGTTTGTAGTGTAACACGTCACATAACTGTATTTAAATAGGGAACACGTGGAAGAGTTTGGTAGCTTCTAACGGGAGCTGATTTGGAACTATACAGTATGTGGAAGAGGCTGCGTTTGTGCTTTTTGTGCTCCGTTTGTATGACAGAGTGCACGGACAAAGACCAGACAGGTACATATCAACTAGTCTAAGGTAAGGTAAGAACATATGTCAGTATGTAAAAACGGTGGCCTCTTCCTTTAACACAACAGTAGGCACATTGTGTAGTGTGAACAATACGTAACTTTTTTCACATTGACATCAATGAGAACGAGGCAGAATCTGCAACAGTCTCAAGATGTTCTGACCCGATCCGATCGCAGTCCAACTATGTCACAAGTTTCAACTGAACTTATTCAGGGACAAAGCCTCAAATAAAACACACACAGAATCCCCACAAAACAATCGCCAGAATACTTTATCAACAGCGTGAGTGAGTGTTCTGTTTTCTTACCGTGATGCTAAAGCCTAGCGTACATCGACAGAGTAACTGGAGACAACTAGTTGCAAGGCGGCTTTTGGCAACTGAGAGTAGATGATGGGAGAAGATAAGTTGCCGAAATGGGTCGATGTGAGCGCTCTTACAGCTTGAGATAAACAATCGATCTCCGGTTTCAGTCAGTTGCCCGTGTTCTACTTTTTGGCAACTAGTTGTACTCCGATCCGGAGATATAACCCGATATGCGCGCTCCTAATAGATCCATGGCGCGCTCCAACAACATGTGTGTATTGCGCGTCATCTACAGTTTATGCCAGAAAATGCACTGTAGTTGACGGCCAGTTGCTGTCAATGTTATTCCCGAGACTGGTCTGCTACTAGGAGTTGCCCGTTTTCGCCAGATTGTTGATGTGTGCAGGGCAGCAACTCATAGGCGACGGATATAATCAGTTGCCAGTCCGATGTACGCTAGGCATAACATGCCAATAGTAACATTAGCTTTTAGCCATGTTCTGCCGCGGCTGTGTAAATGTCCTGCTTCTCTGATCATTGTAGGTTTAAGCTCACACAGACGTTATTCCTCCATGCGTCTCTTCTCCTCACACCGCTTTTGTAAAACGATGTATTATATTAGATCCATGGTAAAACTCTGTGCATGACAAATTAGCCTCTCTGCAGAGGGTGCCGCTTCAGAACGCAGTCTTGTTTAAAATGTCGCCTCCACGCGACTGTCAAGTGCCTGAGACGTTTGGAGAGATCCGGTCATTTATCAAACTAATGGATACTTTACTTGGCAGTCCGGTGAATGACTGAGAGTTGAGGAGCACTGTAATGGGGCTTTCAGACCGGATCATGCGTTGCGTCGGGTTTCAATGCAAAGTCTATGGTGGCGCGCGTTCGACCGTCACAACGCACGGACCTCTCGGCACGCACAAATTATTGATTGTTCAATAATGACGCACGGGCTTGGCAGGAAAGTGAAAAGGGAGGAGCACGAGCAAAAAATCAACGCCCACAGGAGATAGATTCTGCTCATCCTTTCCTTGGGACGTTCATGCGACAACCAATCAGAGAGCAGCAAAGTGGTCACAGGGACATTGGCAGACTGAGCGAGCAGACTGAAAATACTCGTAAACAGCCAAAACAGGACCCACACCAGGCTTCACCAGAACTCAAACCAGGGTTGACAATGGGGGACTCTGTGCTTGTGAAAATATGCGTTGTCATGCGCCCGTGACCTTATGCAACTGCTTTGAGTGTGTTCGCCGATGCGGAAATTCCGTTGAATAATATGAAAAAACGTATGGCGCACCTCCGTGAACACATACTACTGTTATATAAAGCCCGTGGAATGTCTCTGTTCAAAGACACGCTGCATATTGGAGAAGATCTGTACACAAGAAGCCGCTACCATAGCTCTGTTAGCATTAGAGCCGGCCGGCTACTTCCGGTACTTCCGGTCCGCGTCAGGACGTTCGGGTGTGAAGTCCTCCTGCGTCTGAAAACTAGAGAATGCGCATCTGGTGAGCGGGGATTCCGCGTTTCAGCGTTGGCGGTCTGAAAGCACCATTAAAGACACACATTTTCTATCAAAGGCTTCCGTAGTACCTTAGACTGCAATATAAGATCTCAACTAAAAATTACACGGTTTACCTTTAAACTTTTCCAATTCATAGACTTTGTCTGCCATCTTTGTTTTCTTTGGCTGCCGTGAGACGCGCAGGTTTGCATTACATCATATACAGCTGAGGTAGTGTATTTTGACAAAGCAGTGTAAATCTACGTTACACCGTAAAACAATATTCTGACCAGTTCTAAAACTGAACTTATTTAAGCGTGACTGTCTGTGATTGAAGTAAAAAATCAACATGCTAATACACACAAAAATCATGCCAATATAATATTTGAATATTAAGGGCTGTCTAATATTTGTTCAAATGTCATTATTTTTGGTAATATTTGAATTATGTTTCAAAAATCTAAATTTGTTTTCCCGGCCCATTAATTACCTATACACTACAGACAGGAGTCCGTCAAATAGACATATAAAAGAAAAAAAATGGAAGTATCACTTAAAAAGACAAAAACTAATGCATAATATTTCATCTTTAACATTATGGGTATACTGTCCTGGAACAGGCCCACCTGCAGGACATGCATGAGTCAGGTTTGTGGAGATGCAAGCCTCGTCACTATTGGGAAACATGTAATGTATTTTACTTCACCATTGAATAGCTTTACTTTCAGCTTCAAGGATCTGGTTTCAGGCGGCAGATGGAGTTGGTATTTACTGTTTATTTTTGTTCTTTAGAGTCATCAATGCGTTTGTCAGCAGAACAAAGCCCAGCCCCTCTGGGTAACTCTGCAGTCTTAAATCTCTGCATGACTGAGTGACACGTCTCTGCTTCCTCTACCATGAAACGGCTTATCTAACACACCAGCAATGACAGCTATGTGAGACGCGCAGAGAGCTCACGCACCAGCACTTACTCTCCCTGGTCTCTCTCTCTGTCTCTGCAGTCTCCATCTCTGTCTCGCTCTCTCTCCCTCTCTGTGGTGTCTTTTATTTCTCCCTCATCTATGGTCTCTCTGGTCTCTCTCTGATCTCTTGTCTCCCTTGTCCCTCTCTCTCTGGTCTTTCTATGGTCTCTCTCTGATCTCTCTTTTACCCTCCTACACACACCAGCCCCTACATACACCGTTCAGGCCGGTATTTTTAGGCCTCTGGCAGCAGACAAAAATAAACTCGTTGGAATAAAAACAGTAAAAATACTGTTTAGTTTAGTTCGGAATCTTGGCACAAGCAGGAAGGCAGTCCCTATACGAGTCAAATTGTGCATTTATGGGGTTTGTGGAAATGTCAGTAATTTACTCATTAAAGCCTGTACAGTCTGGAAAAAAAAAAAAAACATTTGTAATTTTGTCCCAGTCATTGACAGCGTCAATCCAAATCAAGTTCCGCAGCGAAAAAGCGTGTCCTGCTGTTGTTTACTAAAGCTAAAGGTGCTTGGAGGCTTTAAACAAATACCTGTTTTAAAATGAAAAGGGGTTAATATCCACAAAAGAAAAACCCAGAAAAGTAACATGTTCCAGAGGTGAGGAGGAGAAAAGTAACATGTTCCAGAGGTGAGGAGGAGAAAAGTCACATGTTCCAGAGGTGAGGAGGAGAAAAGTCACATGTTCCAGAGGTGAGGAGGAGAAAAGTCACATGTTCCAGAGGTGAGGAGGAGAAAAGTCACATGTGCCAGAGGTGAGGCTGATGGTGCGAAGACTGCGGAAGGAGAGAGGGCAGCGGAGAACACCGCGGTAAAGAGGCCCGCACATTAAAAGCGGGTGTGGCCGCTTTATGCTGCTACTTAAGTGACGTTGGAAAGAAAAGCCGAGAGAGCGAGGCGCGAGAGAGCGAGGCGCGAGTGAGCGAGGCGCGAGAGAGCGAGGCGCGAGAGAGCGAGGCGCGAGAGAGCGAGGCGCGAGAGAGCGAGGCGCGAGAGAGCGAGGCGCGAGAGAGCGAGGCGCGAGAGAGCGAGGCGCGAGAGAGCGAGGCGCGAGAGAGCGAGGCGCGAGAGAGCGAGGCCCGAGAGAGCGAGGCCCGAGAGAGCGAGGCCCGAGAGAGCGAGGCCCGAGAGAGCGAGGCCCGAGAGAGCGAGGCCCGAGAGAGCGAGACAAGACATGTTTTGACTTTAAAGTGTTTTTTTCTGTTGTTTGAAACCTTTAACCTTTGGCTGACCTTATTCTGTGAAACGCCTTGCTCTGAATTGTCAAAAATGCATGTTTATTAGTTATTTTACCATAGGATAAGAATAGTTTTCTTGTGTTCTGTAGTATTGTGGGTCAATTTACCGGAGGCTGGAGACAGAAAGGCCGTAATTTGAATCAAGCACTGTTTTTAACTCAAAGTTAAAACCAGGAGAGAGAAAAAACTTTCCTCTGGTCTCTCTCTCTGGTCTCTTTCTCTATTGTCTCTGTCTCTGGTCTCTCTTTTGTATCCTCTCTTATGATAAAGCTGCTGATTCTTCTTGGCGCAAAGCCTCCAGTTCCTGTAAATTCCTGGGCGGCCTTGCATGAACTGCACATTTGAGATCTGCCTAGAGCGGCTCAACTATGTTATAATGGAAAAATGAAAACTGTTCCGCCTTTTTAATCTTTTATAATGTCTCTAAGTACACAATAAATCTACCTCCTTATAGCTGGTTTCAGACCTGGTTTTAGACCTGGTTCATTGCGTATGAGTTTGGTATTAATTTGGATATGTTTTACAGATGTCAAACCTTCGATCATCGGAAAGAAGAAGCCAATGGCTGCAAAGAAAGGGGTGAGTAACAAACTTTATTTTATTATCTTTTATTAAAACTACAAAATCACTCTATTCTACTCTACTGCCAAGTATAAGTCTGGTGTGTGTGAAAAGTTGGTGGTCGTGGGAGGGGCTGATGGCACATAACGGTTGCCTTGCTTCTGTGAGTGCGTCCCAGGGCAGCTGTGGCTACAGTAATCACCACCGTGTATGCAGTAAATGAATAATGCTTCTTTGAGCGTCCAAAAAAGTGCTGCATAAAAGCCACTGTATTCTTTTTTGTGTATTTACTATTTAGACAAGAGGAACTCTCAGATGACCTCCTTTCATACCTTTATCTTTAGTCACAATCAAAACCTCAATCTCATCTGCATTCTCCTTTTTGTTCTGTTTACTGTGGGAAATAAACCAGGAAATGCCTCTACTTGAAGCACAATAATTAGTCACCCTGTAATTATGACTAATGCCAACTTTTTTGATGGTAATCTAAGCCAATTACTAAGGTTACAGTCGCAGCCTCTGGTGTCAGTGTCCTAAAGAGAGACCAGTGGGACCAGTGAGAGGGGACCAGTGAGAGGGGACCAGTGAGAGGGGCCAGGGAGAGATAGAATGAAGCAAATGATGAGCGATAAAATTGTCTACAAACGCTTCAGTTTTGTTTTAGTTTTCCAGTTTACATCTCTGTGTTCTACACATTTTTACTTTTTCTGCTGTTATCATTAAGAAATTCCAAAGAAGATTGGGCTGTAGGTGAATCTTTGTCGTTGCCTCAATTCTCATTTTTTTATTGATAACATAGCTATCGTTGTATTGCACAGCCCTAAATCTAAATGGAATCTTTGTTTATGGTTGTAAACCTAAGAAAATCTGCGTACGTTTCATACTTTCGAGAGGCACTGTATTTTGCACACACACATATGGTCATGCATGTTATGGCCTCGGTCCTCGTTCTACAGCCTCAGTAGCCTGAGTCCTGGATCTACAGCCTGTATGTCAGTGGGAGCGGATCCCTCTCTCAATGTGGGCCTCCCTGATGTTTCTCACCTTATCCCAATGGGTTTTTTATTCAAGTTTTTCCTTGCCAATGCAAGAGGATCTGAGGACAGTGGTGATGATCCAGGACCCTCGACATTTAACAAAATTTATGGGCATTGGTCATCTGCCCCTTATGGACCAATGGTTCTGTGCTTTTATTTCATTGCATTTCTTTGGCTTGAACTGTGTTTGATGCAATAGGGATCTCTATCAGCCCTGTTTGGACCCTGACTGACTGTGTTCTGTCCGTGTTGTAGCTGGGGGCAAAGAAAGGCCTGGGCGCGCAGAAGGTGAGCAGCAAGAGCTTCTCGGAGGTGGAGAAAATGGCTCAAGTCGCAGAGAAGCAGAGAGAGGCGCAGGCAGCTGAGGCCAAGAAGCAAGCGGAGGAGTCCATGTGAGTGCAGAGACAGACCTAAAGCTGTATGTTTCTTATATCAGTATGGCTTTTCCCTGTGCTCTTCATTGCATCAGTCGGCTTTGTCTAGTAGGATCGACATAAACAGGTAGACTTGTCTTGTACTTCTTAGCGTCGCCTCAATGCGTCTGGCGTACAAAGAGCTGGAGATTGACCGGAAAGTGGAAGAGAAGAAGTTTCAGAGTCTGGAGGGGAAGAAGAGGGAGCAAGCGGAGCGGCTGGGGATGGGCTTCGGGAACAGAAGGTGAGCATGAGGTCATCAACCAGAAGGAAGGTAGGGTAGGGTAGGGAGTAGGGTAAGGTAGGGTATGAAATGGAAGAAATGAGGCTTTAGTGTTACAGGTTTGAGCATTTTGACAGAATGGGTGGGGAGACATGTTTGTGCCTTTTTATCAAGATAAGTAAATCCTTTATTTGTCCCATAGTGGGGGAAATTTCAGTGTTGCATCACAAGTTACAAAGCAGTATGAGTACAAATGAATATTAAGAATATGAAATTAAATCTCTATCTTAACCCTTCAGGTACCAGAGTCTTTGAGTGAAACAGACAGAAGATGTAGGAGACATTTCTGTAGATCAAGGGCTCTGTCCAGATTGTGTCCTGGTTTCACATTTCTGTCCAGAATCTGTCTTGGATCCAGGCTCCTGCAGGGTTATGATAATCTGCAGACAAACTTTGTGTGTGTATGTCTTCTCTAGCGCTGTGTCTCACTCGGTGATGTCAGAGATGCAGGTTATCCAACAGGAGAGTCCAGTCGGCGCAAAGACCTCATCGAGATCCAAACTGGACCTGTTTGACGAGCCAGGCTTTACCTCCGGGCCTCCCAAGTATGACTCCAACACAACCTTGTCTCTGGGCCTGGCTGACTGTGACTAAAGCGAAACTAGGGCTGGGTTATAGATATCTGGTCTCTCTCTCTTCCGAAAAAGACCTGTTTAGAGACCATTGACATTTATTCTTTTGTAAGTTCTGCAGTTTTGTGACATTTCCTTCTCAAGTCTTGATGTCATTTTTTGTGCCTGACTTTTCAGATTCAGTTCTAGCTTGACCTTGTGCAGTGATTCGTAAACTTTTTCTGCTGGGCCCCCTTTGGTACATAAGATTTTTTTTGTTACTCCCCCTCCAAAAAAAAGGACCTACATACACCGTGACTCTCCCTGCTGCTGTCTCCCCTGCTCTCTCTCTCGTCTAACAAACAAAAGACAAAGCCTTCTCCAACAACACCTTACTGTCCCCGTGATTAAGGGGAGACACAATAATACATCTGTGGGAGGCACTATTAGTGGAGCTGGAGTCGCGGCACCCCAACGTGACTTCCAGTCTTGTCCTCCGCAAATTTTAACTGTCTCCCAATAACAGCACTGACTCAGAGAAACACTGTTCCCACCACTGACCCTGTGTGAAGTGTCTAAAGTCAGTGCAAAGTTAGTACAACACTCGGCCACTGCCTCGCTGCGCTATGGTTTCCGCACTGGTTCAACGCGGTCTTGCTCGAATATTTTGATGGTAGCATGAAGGTTTATTGGGCCAGGGAGGTAGTCTGACATGTCTGCCAACTAGTGCCAGGGAGTTTACGTGAATTTTGACACACTGTTTGATTGTAATGTGTCAAAAATGTGTCCATCTTATGCTAGCGGTGTCATTTGGCCTACTTTATTTTTGTTCATTCATTTGTCCCGCGTCCCCCCTGCAATAGGCTCTATGCCCGGGGAGGCGTGACGTCATTTCATTTAAACAAAGAACAGCTTGTTTACTTCCTCTCTGTGCTAGCGCTATAGCATTGTGGTGAGTTGTAGTGACGTTTTTTAGTAATTAGATTGATACATTCATCTGTGAGACTGACCCGAAAGTGTCGACGTGCTTTCTCTTTGAGGAATAGCTTTGACTGTGGCCACTCAGAGAGAGTCGTTAACTTTATAAAAGCACAATGACAGCACAATCAAAGAGCACTGCTGTGTCCCAAAAATGCCCAGCCCCCTCACAGTTTTATTGGAGCTGCTGAACTAAAGCCGTCTTGTGTGCAGGTATAAAGATAATCCGTTCTCCATTGGTGATTCCTTTGGCTCTCGGTGGGAAAGTGACTCCGGGAGCGGATCGTTCACCGCGTCTTGGGCTTTGGACAAAGAGGAGCCCAAAGAAGAAGTGACCATCTCCAGCATCCAGCCAATCGGAGAGAGGTACATCACCTGACCATGGCTCTTACTGCTGCTCTGTGTGCACCATACACTGTATACACAGAGACTATGCTAACCTGCCGCCTCTATGAAGCCCAAGTGCTCATGGCGAAGCTCCTATTGACTTGCATGTAAAAGTAAACTCCTCTTGCTCAGTAACCATTTGTGTCACATTCACCATTTTGGGCTTAAACCCGTGGTTTTACGCACTCTGTAATCCTGCTGTTTATATTGTCTTGATAAATCCAGATATGAGCCATATAAGGATCAACCAATCAGATGTCTTCATTCACAGGCAAAACTCCTGCTTGCCTTAGCAACTGTCTTTGCCACAAGTCTGCCCTTGTTACGGCGCAAAGCTAACACCTTCAGAACAAATGCCCATACAAGGAAATAGGCTCCAGCTTGGAGTTTAATTTTCAATATAAGTCAACAGGAGTTGGAGCGAGCACTTGGAGCACTTCCCTATTGGGCTTCATTGAGCTAGTATGTTAGAATCTCCCTCTGTCTGTGGTAAAGCTCTGCTCTTACCTTCATAAAGTTGTCTTCTGTGTCTCTGCAGTTTGGACACTGACCTGTATTGTTGTAATTCCTAGGTTGCCCAGCAGGAGGAAAGCTGAAGCCATCTCCCCGGTTTCCGAGTCCAACGAAGCTCGGCAGAAGTTTGCAAACGCCAAAGCCATTTCTTCCGACATGTTCTTTGGACGAGAGAGCAGCGCAGAGGTGGGACTTTGAGATGGACATGATTCAAAATCCTAGATGGTCTAAGGACACTGAATAGACACTAGTATAAATATTGTGGCTCTCTAACTACAGCTGCCAGTCAGGTTTGTGGAGAGGCAACCCCAGAGAGCGGAGTGTGAGCGGAGTGTGAGCGGAGTGTGAGCGGAGTGTGAGCGGAGTGTGAGCGGAGTGTGAGCGGAGTGTGAGCGGAGTGTGAGCGGAGTGTGAGCGGAGTGTGAGCGGAGTGTGAGCGGAGTGTGAGCGGAGTGTGAGCGGAGTGTGAGCGGAGTCTTTCAAAAGGGATAAACATTAGCAGTCTATTTTCCACTAGAACGTGATGTTCTGAGGCATATGGAGTGTGGGTATTTTCTCTTAAAGTTTGTGTCAAGCCAGGTCTGTTTTCCTTCTTTAAAATCTGATTTTGTTTCTTCAGTACGATGCAAAGACAAGACTGGAAACAATGTCTGGAAGCTCATCCATCAGTTCTGCAGATCTGTTTGGAGATGGAAGCAAAGGTGAGAGTTCAGCTGATTTTGTGTTTGGTCAACACACATTCCCTATGGGACGATACCCTCGTCTTTTGGATGATAATGTTTTGGTATGAATGTGTTTTTAATTTGTTTTTAAAGGATGACTTTATAAAGTGCTGTGTGCTTGTGTCTGCAGCGCGGTCGCCTGGTCTGGACGGTGTTCTGCCCTCAGGTCCTGACATCACTCAGTTTAAACAGGGAGTGAAGAGCGTGGCAGGAAAGATGGCTGTACTCGCCAACGGAGTCATGAACACCATCCAGGTCTGATACTTTTGTAACCAGAACAAACCGCAAATTAATTTTTCCAATGGTTTTTTATTAATTGAGAATGTCGTTTTCCTTCACATTTACCCATGTCTGCACACAGTCTTTTACTCTGCTCTCTCTCTCTGGTCTCGCTCTCTAAAATGTCTGTTTCCTGTGTACAGGATCGTTATGGCTCTTACTGAACCCGTCTCTCATAGACAAGACGAGATCTGGACCTAAAGCCTCTGGGTTCAGAGGTAGTTCTGCATGAAGGAAGCCTCGCCTTTCTATAAACCACCACAAACTTTGGAGACAGTATTCAAACAGACCAGGACCCAGGCGCCTGCTTCACCTCTTCTGTCTTTTCCACTGAGGAGACTTCCTTTGGGGTCATAGAATTTCAAAATGCCGTATTTTGTTTTCTGTTTTTGTCAAAAGTGCATCTAAAATGTCAAATATTGTGAGAGATTGAACTAATGTGGGGGTTAGACCACATTCTGAGAAAGTGGTGGTATTTAAAAATACAGAAGTCCCTCGCTGCAACACGGTCCACCTTTTGAGGCCTCCCTGTTTTTGTGTAATTGTGCTTTTTTACAGTGTGCTTCAGCATGTGTATACACAGATGATTAAAAGTAGAATTAAATAACCCAAATTAGGGTCTAAAGGGGTATAAATAACTTGGAAAATAAATTAGGAAAAACCCTTATTTAGGGTATTATTGAATCACTCTGGCGTGTCAATTTGACCCAAGGATAGCACAAGGGTTAAAGCCTCTCTGGTCTTACTCTGGTCTCTCTCTTTCTCTCTCTCCTGTCTCTTTCGCTTCTCTCTCTCTCTGATGGGGGTAAGCCTTAGAACATAGTAAAATTGTGAAAGAAGCAGTATTTATTGTTGGTTACTTTTTAGACCACGTCAAACCTGGGACCCCTGTATTTGTAAAGTCCACTTCCTCTTCTTGTATTGAGTCTAAATATTTATTTAATCATTGATAATGAATCAAAATATTGAGATTCAGTTTAGATGCACTTGTCATTAGTTTTTTTTTTTGTATAATTTTCAGCCATTGTTCATATCGTTTTTATTCAGAAAAGCCGTTTTCAATTAGGACTCGTTCTTTAAAGCTGGGGTACCTCACTTTTTACTTGCCATTTGTCTCAACAGAAGCGAGACCACGACATGCTGTCTTCATCTCATTAGAAGACATGTTTTCTTTGTGTAAGAAAGAAAGAGCCCTGAGAGTCACTATTTGACAATTTGGGCTGAGAGTTGATTGGAAATGGTCCTCCTTTTTAAGTTTCTGTCTGAAAAATATGATCTAAAGATGTGACAGAGGCCAACAATACGTGACTGAACAGTTTTTATTAGTTGGTTGTGGTTTCAAACTTAGGTACCCCAGCTTTAGTTGGCCACTTTATATTAATGTGAGAGAAACTAGTGTATATATCCGTATAGTTCCAAATGTATTGATTCATTCAAAAATAAACATTAATAAACCTTTGGGATTTGAGTCAACAGTGAGTCTTTCAAACTACCGGGTACAGTGTATGTAAACCTGTCGCAACAAAGGGAGAATGACAGGTTGTTTTACAAGAAGCTGGAACAATGAGGCGGACATCTCCATGACTTCATCCAAAGATTCTACAGAACATCCACACAATTGGACTCAAGTCACTTCAATCGAACACCTCAACAGGCAGGCGTCCCTAACACATGTCCGAGGCACCTCAACTGGCTTCTGTCCACTTGGGGAAGCAGTGGCTCTACTCTGAGCTCCTTAAGTGTGACTGAGCTCGTCCGCCTGTCTCTAACTCCACTCTGCAAGTGGAAAGCTTGTATCTGCAATCTTGTCCTTTTGGTCATTCCCCAAAGCTAAGGATCAGAGGTGACTGAAGACCCTGCTCACCAAAGCAGTTCTGACTTTACATACATACATATCTCAACAGTTTTGTAAAATGTCTGGTCTTTCACTGTTCCCACTCTTTCTGGTTTCTAACTGGTTTATCGGATTCATGAGTGGAATATAGGAAAACGTAACTTTTTAGGCTCGAGCCCCAACTGGGGTAAGGGCCTATTGCTTTTCCAACGAATGTTACTCGTAACTGTCATAAGTCACACGGCGATTGTGACCTGCACGCGACGGCACGTGCCCAAGCACTGATAAATCCGTGCCGGAGGCACGGAATGGCTTTGCTCCTGCTGTAGTACACAGTGAAATGATTGAGGTCCTATGGACCCCATTGGGGTGGGTGACCTGATGCGCTCGTCAATCACCGAGTACCCAATGTTGCGTTCGTCTGGTCGTTCGCTTTAAAACAATGTATAATTTGTATTATAGGTTACTATGGAAACCTATATTGTTTTTGCTCGAAGATTTGCAAAAAAAATTCCTTATTAGGCCCGAGCCCCAACCGGGGTAGGGGCCTATTGTTTTTTTTGTAACTGTCATATGTCACAATCGCGACGGCACGTGCCCAAGCACTGATAAATCCGTGCCGGAGGCACGGAATGGCTTTGCTCCTGCTGTAGTACACAGTGAAATGATTGAGGTCCAATTAAAGGGGGGTTCTTTCAACTGTCTTACGGACGAATGTCCGGGCGCAGTTCTCGTCAATCACCGAGAACCCAATAGTTGCGTTCGCCTCGTCGTTCGCTTTAAAACGACGTATCATTTGTATTATAGGTTACTATGGAAACCTATATTGTTTTTGCTCGAAGATTTGAAAAAAAAATTCCTTATTAGGCCCGAGCCCCAACAGGGGTAAGGGCCTATTGCTTTTCCAACGAGTAATGCCTGGGTTTCGCCCAGGCATTACTCGTTGTAACTGTCATAAGTGCAGCCCGGAGATTGTGACCTGCACGCGACGGCACGTGCCCAAGCACTGATAAATCCGTGCCAGAGGCACGGAATGGCTTTGCTCCTGCTGTAGTACACAGTGAAATGATTGAGGTCCTATGGACCCCATTGGGGTGGGTGACCTGACGCGCTCGTCAATCACCGAGTACCCAATGTTGCGTTCGTCTGGTCGTTCGCTTTAAAACAATGTATAATTTGTATTATAGGTTACTATGGAAACCTATATTGTTTTTGCTCGAAGATTTGCAAAAAAAATTCCTTATTAGGCCCGAGCCCCAACTGGGGTAGGGGCCTATTGTTTTTTTTGTAACTGTCATATGTCACAATCGCGACGGCACGTGCCCAAGCACTGATAAATCCGTGCCGGAGGCACGGAATGGCTTTGCTCCTGCTGTAGTACACAGTGAAATGATTGAGGTCCAATTAAAGGGGGGTTCTTTCAACTGTCTTACGGACGAATGTCCGGGCGCAGTTCTCGTCAATCACCGAGAACCCAATAGTTGCGTTCGCCTCGTCGTTCGCTTTAAAACGACGTATCATTTGTTATTATAGGTTACTATGGAAACCTATATTGTTTTTGCTCGAAGATTTGAAAAAAAAATTCCTTATTAGGCCCGAGCCCCAACAGGGGTAAGGGCCTATTGCTTTTCCAACGAGTAATGCCTGGGTTTCGCCCAGGCATTACTCGTTGTAACTGTCATAAGTGCAGCCCGGAGATTGTGACCTGCACGCGACGGCACGTGCCCAAGCACTGATAAATCCGTGCCTGGAGGCACGGAATGGCTTTGCTCCTGCTGTAGTACACAGTGAAATGCTTGAGGTCCTATTAAAGTGGGGTTCTTTCAACTGTCTTACGGACGAATGTCCCCCAAGCCCGACGGCGCGTGCCCAGACACTGACAAAAGAGTGCCGGAGGCACTGAATGGCTTTGCTCCTGCTGTAGTACACAGTGTAATGAATGGGGTCCTATGGGGGGGGTGGGGGACCTCATGATGGCGAGGTGATTGACGAGCGCGTCAGCGCTCGTCAATCACCGAGAACCCAATAGTTGCGTTCACCTTGTCGTCCGCTTTAAAACGATGTATCATTTGTATTATAGGTTACTATGGAAACCTATATTGTTTTTGCTCGAAGATTTGCAAAAAAAAAATCCTTATTTCTTTCTTTCTTTTTTCTTCTGCACTTTGAACCTTAATTTGACCCCCTGAACATTGATGAAAAGTTGTGAAATTTTGCCCAAAATTCAGAACCGGCGAAAAATAAATTTTTTTGGTGTTTATTTTTATGGGACAAAAAAAATGACAGAACAGCGCCCCCTACAAAAGTCAGTTTACATTGCTCCTATGGGAGGGGGTCGGAGGTCAAGTTTGTCTCAGAGCCACGAAACTCTGTACACATGTTCAAGTCAAGACATGAAAAAAAGTCATTATGGCTCCGCCCCCTGACAAACGGGGAGCTCATTAATTTCAATGGGAAATGGAAAAATTTCGGTTGGAAATTATCTCCTCCTCGGCCGTTTCACCGATTTGTTTCAAAATCGCTCCACATGTTCTAAACACATGTACCATCAATTATTGAATATAGAATTTGGATCAGTTAAACGTTGTCCGAGCAGCGGAGCGGCAAAATGTGACATATTTTTTTCAATTTTTGACAAAAGTAAATTTGCTCCCGTTTGCACAAACAAAGCCGGATTTGCATAAAATGTTAATCGATTGTTTGGCTCCAGGGTCTAGGTAATTTGAAAGTGGAAATATTGAAATTGGCTCATTAGCGCCCCCAACAGACCATGTCAAAGTTTAGCATGGGCCTAATAAAATTTAGTTTTTTCAAAATGTTTGAAATTTTGCACATAATTCTGTTTTGTCATCTGGATTCAAAAAGTCAATGACAACATATGGTTATTTTCTACCCTGTTGCCGTGGCAACGACAAACACTCCGTCTGTGTCTATGGGAAAATCATATCTCCGAAAAGTACACCTCGCTCAAACATCAAACCAGCCGCGGCCGTTTCACTAATTTGGCTGAAAATCGCTCCACATTGTCTCAACACATGGACCATAAATAGTTGAATATAGAATTTAAATTAGTCAAACGGTCTGCGCGTGACAGACTCCCAAAATGTGGTCTTTTTCATAGAGAGGTGTGAAGTTCCCATGTTATCCAATGGAGACACAGATTGTATGTGCAAACAGGAGCACGTTTACAAACTCTGATTTGCACTAAACTTGACTCGGTTGTTCAACTCCTGGGCCTAGGTCACATGACCGTATGAACGATGACATTGACCCATTAGCGCCCCCTACAGGCTGAGTAAAGGTTTACATGGGGATACAGGTATTTAGGTTTTATGTTGTTTGATCTCATATTTGAACCACATAACAAACAACTCACCAAACTTTGCCACAAGTTTTTTTCAGGCATAAAGTGTATTTTGGTGTTCTTTGATACAACACAAAAAAATCAAAGTGTAGGGGGCGCTGTTGTACAACATTAAATGCCACCATTTGCACATACAAAGTCTGATTTGCACAAAATTTCATTTGATAGTCCAACTCTTGGGTTTGAGTAAACTGAACGTGTAAATCATGGAAATGCAGCATCAGCACCCCCTACAGAGTGAAACAAGTGTTACATGGAGAGACTGGGGTTTACCTTTTCAATAGAGATACACAATCACTGATCATAGGAATTCAAAATGCACAGTGTCGCTCCCATCAGGGCGGTACGGCGAGGGCCGTTAGATGCCACTTGCGGCTTTAATTCTTTTTGTTTTTCATTTTGGTCATGACAATAGTTGCTAAGGTGCTGCTTTTCTTGGCACATGTTTGGTGTCTGTTTAAACCACACAACCGCAGTACTCCGGGGGTTTGTTTTGCTTAATTAGCAGTTGTCTGATTTGTAATTCTCAACCATGGGGTAAAAATGTTTAAAAAGGAAAATATTCCTGTAATAAGTAACTAGCTACTCTCAACACTGCACAGGAAGAATATGAAAAAAATCACATGTTCAATTCCACCTCCGTCTAAAGCTAAGAACCCAGGACTTTCCTGTGCTTCGATCAACAGGTCACAGCAAAACAAAAATTACTAATGAAATGTTCCAAAATGAGAAAAACATTTTATTTTACACCAGGAAAAGTGAGAATTGAACATTAAAGCCTCATTTCCACCAGCCCAATTCTACTCTCCCCTGGTCGGAAGTATTTCCACTGGAACCGTTTAACCCCTACCAGGTCCTCTTTAGTCCCTCTTGGCCCTGATTCTATCCAGGCCAACCTGGTACTAAAGTGTTCTGACAGTGTTTGGCCAGAGTCCTGCTAGAAGCCATGGTTACCAAGGAATTTCCCTGGATACTGGGGAATAGATGGGAAGAGTCCAGAGGGGCCAGTGGATATGGGGAAAAGATGTACAATTTTTTTCCCCTCAAGTTTTTGGAAAAAAAGACCTAGATATAAGGCCTGTCATTAAAGTGAAGTTTATTTATCAGAAAAATCAAAAATGTGGCTGTAGGTGACCATAGACTGCTCAGATGGACAGTGTGACCAAGCCCCAGGTCTCCAAGATGCCCATTTAGATCGATGGCCTGTGCTCATTGGCTCATACTCGCACCGTGGATGTCCAGGTGGATAGCACTCTCACCTCTCAGCAAGAAGGTTCTGGATTCGAATCAAGGTGGGAACAGCCTGTCTGAGTGGAGTTCGCATGTTCTCCACGTGTCTGCGTAGGTTTCCAACACCACAAAAACCATGTTCAATAGTTCAGGGTGAATGAAATGCAACACGGTACTCTTAGCTGAAAACCCTAACCCTAACTAAATATGCCACTGGTTCCTTTTTTAACTATCACTACTTTTCACATGTGTATCTGAAAAAGTTGAGGGAGAGACAAGAGAGAGACCAGGGAGTGAGAACAAAGAGTAAGACCAGAGAGAGAGAAACCAGGGAGGTTCTATCACTACTTCAGATCATGTATTTTTGGCCAGTCATATTTTCAGACCATTTTTCAGACAGGACCACCCTCACTCAGCCAATCTACTCTCAACTCAAATAGTGACAGATTGGTTAGCTCCTATAGCCACATTTCAGACGTATTTACAGTGACTTCTCTGTTGTATGTTTTGTACTCCTTTGTACTCTCACTACTGTCCTGTTGGTGCGATGAAACACCAGAAAAGCATTTATTATTTTCATAATCGATGAGGGCCGACCAACAAAACCAATTTCTACTTTGGTAGCTCATAGCACCCGCTCACCACGCCACAATTTAGAGACTTTTGTGAAAAAAGTCTGCACCTGTGTCCGGTACTGAGAGGGCGGGGCTTAGCATGAAGGTCAGTTATCATGGGAGGAAAGAAGGGGAGGGGTGATTTCAGAATACATCTGTTTGATTTTTGATTCATGTCTCACAGTAATCATCATAAATCTTTTCAGAAGTCTTGAACCCAGACGGAGGAGCATCAACCCCAGTTGTAGAAATAGATGTTCTGCCATGTGGGGAGGTACTCCATCAGAGGACCTGAACACAGAAGATTTCAGAACACAGATTAGTGCTGGGTCCAGCAAATACTCTTTTACAGGAACAATTGGCAAATCTACTGCAATACAAATATTTTTGGATGAACCGCGAGTAGAAACTGTACCAGCTACAGTTTAAAATACAGTGTTCACATAAAGAATGCTCAGCTCTGATTAAATCTTTTATTCATCCATGACGTTTCAGCTTTATGCCTTCATCAGATCATGTTTTATTTTTATTTTGACCACAAAATACAAAGTGGTTGCCAGCCCAGCTGCTCATATGCCTCCAAATAAGTGGGAGGTCCCAGTGAGTTCACCTGGTAAGGTCAGCCCATTTCGACAAACAAGAGAGAAGAGTATTACATTATTTACAAAAATATGTATATTTATATATATTTTAAAGACAAAATCTCAAATCAAAGTCCACATTCAGTCCATGTGGAGCAAGAGTCCTTAAATGGTGGATCCAGAAACGCTCCCTTTTTGACAGGAGAGTATCCAGATTACCACCTCTAGGAGGCAGTCTCACATGTTCGATGCCTATACAGTGCCTTGCGAAAGTATTCGGCCCCCTTGAACCTTTCAACATTTCGCCACATTTCAGGCTATAAACATTACATTTTTTGTCAAGAATCAACAAGTGGGATACAATCGTGAAGTGGAACGAAATTCATTGGATGATTTAAACTTTTTTAACAAATTATAAACTGAAAAGTGGGGGGTGCAATATTATTCGGCCCCCTTGCGCTAATACTTTGTAGCGCCACCTTTTGCTGCAATTACAGCTGCAAGTCGCTTGGGGTATGTCTATCAGTTTTGCACATCGAGAGACTGGAATTCTTTCCCATTCTTCCTTGCAAAACAGCTCGAGCTCAGTGAGGTTGGATGGAGACCGTTTGTGAACAGCAGTCTTCAGCTCTTTCCACAGATTCTCGATTGGATTCAGGTTTGGACTTTGACTTGGCCATTCTAACACCTGAGTACGTCTATTTGTGAACCATTCCATTGTAGATTTGGCTTTATGTTTTGGATCATTGTCCTGTTGGAAGATAAATCTCCGTCCCAGTCTCAGGTCTTTTGCAGACTCCAACAGGTTTTCTTCCAGAATGGTCCTGTATTTGGCTCCATCCATCTTCCCATCAATTTTAGCCATCTTCCCTGTCCCTGCTGAAGAAAAGCAGGCCCAAACCATGATGCTGCCACCACCATGTTTGACAGTGGGGACGGTGTGTTCAGGGTGATGAGCTGTGTTGCTTTTACGCCAAACATATCGTTTTGAATTGTGGCCGAAAAGTTCGATTTTGGTTTCATCTGACCAGAGCACCTTCTTCCACATGTTTGGTGTGTCTCCCAGGTGGCTTGTGGCAAACTTTAAACGAGACTTTTTATGGATATCTTTGAGAAATGGCTTTCTTCTTGCCACTCTTCCATAAAGGCCAGATTTGTGCAGTGCATGACTGATTCTTGTCCTATGGACAGACTCTCCCACCTCAGCTGTAGTTATCTGCAGTTCATCCAGAGTGATCATGGGCCTCTTGGCTGCATCTCTGATCAGTCTTCTCCTTGTTTGAGATGAAAGTTTGGAGGGACGGCTGGGTCTTGGTAGATTTGCAGTGGTCTGATACTCCTTCCATTTCAATATAATTGCTTGCACAGTGCTCCTTGAGATGTTGAAATCTTTTTGTATCCAAATCCGGCTTTAAACTTCTCCACAACAGTATCTCGGACCTGCCTGGTGTGTTCCTTTGTCTTCATGGTTCTCTCTGCGCTTTAAACATAACCCTGAGACTATCAAAGAGCAGGTGCATTTATACGGAGACTTGATTACACACAGGTGCATTCTATTTATCATCATCAGTCATTTAGGACAACATTGGATCATTCAAAGATCCTCACTGAACTTCTGGAGTGAGTTTGCTGCACTGAAAGTAACGGGGCCGAATAATATTGCACGTCCCACTTTTCAGTTTTTTATTTGTTAAAAAAGTTTAAATTATCCAATAAATTTTGTTCCACTTCACGATTGTGTCCCACTTGTTGTTGATTCATGACAAAAAATTTAAATTTTATATCTTTATGTTTGAAGCCTGAAATGTGGCGAAATGTTGAAAGGTTCAAGGGGGCCAAATACATTATATCTTAATGAAGAGATAGGATAATTATATTCTACAAAATGAGCTGCCACAGGGTAGGTTATACCTAATAGTACTCTTATCTTCTGCAATGCTTGTTTGTAAAGCTCTGCTACTTTTTCCCACATAGGCTTTACATCCTCTGATGGGTATAGTTTTTCCTGTATGTGGGTGTTTAAAGTTATTGAAGGGCTCACCCAACGCCGGGTCCGATTGTAGTATATGCAAAGGAAGGATTCTCACACATCATCTGTACTTCTTAGCAGGTTTTCCCGACGTTTCGTCCTTAATCCAAATAACTTTTTCAAGTGCAGGTCTACCACTCGTCATCAAAACGACGTAATCAAAACGACGTCATAAAAACGACGTCATAAAAACGACGTCATAAAAACGACGTTGTGAAAACAACGCCCTAACATTAAAAAAGGTCAGTGACGTGCTAATGAGTTAGGAGTGGTAGACCTGCACTCCACCCGAGCAATCTCAGAAAACAATAGGTCGGTGGCATGCTAATGAGTTAGGATCGTTAGCCCTAGCATGGTCGTTAGACCTGCTCCAAACCACATCTTAACAGATGTGTTTGAGTTAACCTAAGGATTAGGGGGTGGCTAACCACACCCATAGGTTATAAATCTCCAACTCGCGGTATGAGCTTTCATTCCCTTGAAAAAGATCTTTGGATTAAGGATGAAACGTTGGGAAAACCTGCTAACTGAAGTACAGATGATGTGTGAGAATCCTTCCTTTGCTTTAACTAATCCCTGTACGACTGAGTATATGTCAATGTTTAGATATTATTTTATTTAAATTGTTCTGCAGGTTTTGAATAGACAGTAGAAGAGATTTTGCGAGTATTGGCCCTTTTAGGGGAACTTTTTTTCAGTAGATCAGACCTACTGAAAAAATTTCTGGATCCACCATTAAAGGACTCTTGCTCCACGTGGACTGAATGTGGACTTTGATTTTAGATGTTCTGTTCTCTCTAATTTATATATATATATATATATATATATATATATATATATATAAATAAATCAATTTTTGTAAATATTTGCAAATAATGTAATACTCTTCTCTCTTGTTTGTAGAAATGGGCTGACCTTACCAGGTGATCTCACTGGGACCTCCCACTTATTTGGAGGCATATGAGCAGCTGGGCTGGCAACCACTTTGTATTTTGTGGTCAAAAGAAAAAAAACATGAACTAATAAAGGCATAAAGCTGAAACGTTGTGGATAAATACAAGATTTTGGACATCAGAGCGGAGTGAGCAATGCTACCCTGTTTTCTGAAATATTGATTCTGGCATCTGCACCTCATTAATTAATTTTTTGGTGTGCCATACCTGCTCTTCCTACACATAAAGGACGCACCTGAATGTAAGCCTCACCTGAACGCAGGACTCAAGTTTAACAACTGAAGAAGCCTCACGCCCTGTTTAGACAGAGGCATCGTAACAGTAAAACGGTAGATTTCGGTATCGGTTGGGTCTCCTGTTTACATGGAGAAGGTGCAAGCATGAGCACGTGAATTCTCTGACTGCTATGACCTCTCCACTTCCCTGCACGTACATTTGGACATGCATAATAGCCGGGAACAAACGTAAACACGTGTGCATCGAGCGCGACTCCTTTGCGTGACGCAAAACAATTTTCGCAGCTGCTGTTAAATGCAGAATGATGTTGGTGCATTCTTCCACTGGCCAAATCATTGGCCTGAGGAGGATGTTGTTGAGGAAGTGATTATACTGCTGGTGGTTGCATGTGTCGTGTTGTTAAGCTCCACTACCCACTACTGGCCGGGCGCTAGAACTACATTGTTTTCCATAGTCGTCTAAACGCTCTGCAGGAGCCTGGTCATTTTTGCTAACTGCTTTGCAGCGTCTCAGCAGAGTCTCCATCTAAACGGTTTAAGGCTGTTCTAGTCCACAGAGGACGAAAAGAAACAAGCTCCACACAGTTTATCCGTTTCTCAAATGAAAAAATCTGAAGAATGTCCTCGGGTTCTTAGTACAAAAAAAACTTACGAGCCACAAGTCCCAGTCCGGGAACCGAGTCCGACAGAAGTTTGAGCAGCAACAAGATCTTCTCCCTGAAAAAGACAGCACTAGTTCAGACACACACAATAAAATGTGTATTAGTATCTTTATTATTATTACATATTTATACCGCCAAGAAGAGAGGTACAGAGCTCTTTATGGCTGTATAAATTCATGATTATCAAGCCTGTGATTGGAAAGAAATTATTGTGTGAGTACCAGTTAAATAAAAGCTCATTAACTTTCACACTTCCAGATTTCTGAAATTACTAGAGCTCCCAGAGCAGTCTTTTTGACTGCTTCCATTCCAATTAATTGAATTATGAAAATTATTATTTTTAATTATTATAGTTAGTATTCCACCAGATTTATTAAAAGACAATGATTTATGAGATTTCTAGCTTTACTGACTTTCATTAAGAGCTAAAACCAGTGAATATAACAAGAATACAGGAAAACTGGTTGGTAAAAGGCTATTGCTAGATGCTCGATTGCACTTTTCTGGTGTAAAACCAAGCTGGACCAGAACCAGACTAGAACCAGTCCAGGACCAGACTAGAACCAGTCCAAGTCCAAGAGTTGCTTTCACTGCCATAGACTTCATTCCGGAGAGTAGCTTAAGTGACAGACTCATTCATCCTCCCTGTGTGGCCCTTCCTTACTGAAGCTGTCAGACTGTACAGTGAAAACTGCTGAGTCTATACACGTGCCACACACCTGTTCTGATAATCCACTGATCACTTTACTAGTCGCTAGTCACTTTAGCTGTTATTATTATTACTATTGTTTAGTCTGGTTTTATTCTCTGCTGCTAAAGTACAATACAAACATCAGTAATACTTCCTTCTGACTAAAGTGTACACCCCGCTAGTGAGCTATAATTGAACCAACTGCAATTATAGCTCCAGATATTTACTTTATGGTATTTTATTGTCTTTTTATTTATTTATTGTATTTTATTATCTATTGTGTTCTCCCTGTGCAGTGTTATATCTATTATCTTAAATTATAGATCCTGTTGGATGTGTGCAATCTGAGTGTTCTTATTTTCTCCTTTTTTCTTATTCTGCTGTAATGTGCGCAACAATGACATTGAAATTTCCCCACTGAGGGACAGGTCTTCTTACCTCATCTAAAATGGCTACATTTGAACACAAGCAGCATTTACACTTGAACACAATCAGCATTTACACTTCCAAAAATAAAAGCCGTCAGATTGACTGCTCTGGGGGTTCTGGCGTTAAACCAAAAGAACTGGTTCTTCACTCCTTAATCACAGTGCACAGTTTTAGAGTCTATAGTTTCTAAGAGTCTTTATAATTATAAAATAAATAATAATAATAATAATAATTGTTATTATTATTCTTTGAAGAGCTTCCAGCTCGTTCAGAATACAGCAGCAAGGATCTTAACAGGTACCAAAAGGAGGGAGCACATAACTCCGGCGTTAAAATCCCTCCACTGGCTCCCTGTGGAGTACAGAATAAAGTTTAAAATCCTTCTTTTAACATATAAAGCCATAAATGGCTTGGCTCCTACTTATCTCCAAGACACGTTAGTGTCATATCAACCAAGTCGAGCGTTGCGCTCACAAAACGCCAGACGTCTGGTGGTTCCTAAGGTCTCAAAAATCACTGTTGGCGGCAGAGCATTTAGCTACCAAGCTCCTTTACTGTGGAATCAGCTTCCCATTTATGTTAAGGAAGCAGATACGGTCTCCACATTCAAGGCCAGGCTTAAAGCACTATACTTTAATTTAGCATATAGTTAGGCTGTTTGCCTGGATCGGTTTGTACACTTGGTGTGCAATCCATGAATCTTGGTGCTGTAGCCTAGGCTAGCCTAGCCGTGGCTGCTGCTGCTGTCTCACCTCCTTTCAGATACGCTCTCTTTATTCAAGGCTAGGTTTAAAACAGTCCTCTTTAGTTTAGCCTATGGCTAGGAAGGTAAGACTCAGGGAAGGCTAAACTCCTCAGACTGTCAGTAAAGCTGCATAGGGAGTCAGTTTGCTGGGAGAAGTATGGTAACTTGAGCACTATCCTCTCCTCCTTCCTACTTTACCTGTTTAGCATTATTAGGATTTTTACTGTAGTTTGTTCATTGCTATTCACCCGTTGTCCCATTGTCTGTTTAATGGTACGATGACAGGATCTCTGAGCCTGGCCTCCTCCATCTACACTTGCGGACTGCCCTTCCCGACCCGCCTGGGAGTGCTTCATTCCTGCACCGGACCTGTTCATGTTCAGCGGCCACTGGTCCACGTCCTGTAGCTAGCTTAGGTCCTGGATCATTAGCCTGTCCGTCCGGAGGAGCGGATGCCTTTCTCAAATGGGTCTCCCTCCCTGTGGGTTTCCCTAGGTCTCCCCAAGGTTTCTCACTTTATCCCTCTGGGTTTTTTATGAGTTTGCCGGAGGGTCTTGTTGGACAGTTAGTGTCCAAAAGAAAGGATTGGTGATGATCAGGACACTTTAGCATTCTACAACATGTATGGACATTTCCTTCTGTGTGTGCTTTATATTTTTCATGTGTTTTAACTGTTGATTCTCTGATCTGTGTTGGTGATTTCAATGGTTTTGTTGAGTCCTCTGAGATGACTTCTGTTGTGACCTAGGGCTATACAAGAATAAATTGTAATAATAATAATGGAGAGAGGTCCGGCCCCACTTGAACCCTGTAAACTACAGCAGAGAAATCAGTTCCACTAGAGCTCTGCAGACTACAGGAGAGAGGTCCGGTTCAACAAGAGCTCTGTAGACTAGAGCAGAAGTACGATTCCGCTAGAGCTCTATAGACGTTCTCTCAGCCGATACCAAGCACTTACTGAGAGTACCGGTCGTAGAAAGGCGACCGCAGCAGGTAGAACAGCAGCAGGAACCTCCTTCTCTTCATCTCCGCTCGCTCCCACACGCTCTGGAACTTGGTCTCACTCAGAACCGCAAAACTGAACACAGAGGCAAGGTTATTTGTGTAGCACAGGGCACAGGCAAGGCAGTACTCCCACCCCCCCTCCCCCCTACCCCCCCCCCCCCACCCCATTAACAAACCTTTCCCAACATCCCCCATCCCACCCCACCCCCCCCCACCCCACCCCCCCCCCCCACCCAAAACCCCCACCCCCAAACCCCCCAACCCACCCCCCCCCCCCCCACATACCAACCCCCTCAACCCACCCCCCCTACCAAACCCCCCCCCCACCCCCCAACCCCCCCCCCCACCCCACTAACCCCCCAACCCCCCCCCCCCCCCTAACCCCCCCACCCACCCCCTTATATAACCCCCTCACCCCAACAAACTAATACATCCCTTTCCCCCTCCCTACAAACCCATTCAAATCCCCAATCCCTCTCTTCCTCCCTACACCCCACCACCTTCCTCCATAACCCTCCAAACTCATCCACCCACATCCCCTCCTCCACCCCCATACACTCATCCACATTTCCCACCCCTTGGGCCCCATCTCACCACCTCTACCTTTCATTAACACATTTCCACTCCACACCATTCATACCAAATTATCCCTTCCCATTCTCTCCAATGGTTCTCTCATCAAACCCTCACACCACATTTCCCCTTTCCTCCCTATCCTCTCCCATCTTTTCCACCATATTACTACTGCAGCTGTTTTATTGCATGTTTGGAGATACCTGTGAGCAGGCCATTGCAGTAATCCAGCCTACTGGAAACAAAAGAATGGATAAGAATCTCCAAGTCTGCCCTGGACACAATATTTTTAATTTTGGCAATATTTTTCAGATGATAAAAAGCTGCTGATGTTACCGATCCAATGTGGCTATTGAAGTTTACGTCAGAGTCCATTATTACTCCCAGATTTCTGACCTTATTTAAAGGCCTTAGGGAGAGAGACTGAAGGTGACAAATGACGGTCTCTCTTTGTTTCTCGGGACCAAAGACAATCATTTCGGTTTTGTCCGCATTTAGCTGGAGAAAATTGCATTGCATCCACTCACTGATCCGCTGGATACAGCGAAGGAGTGAGTCCACCGGTCCATGCTCTCCTGCAGTCAGTGAGACATAGATCTGAGTGTCATCAGCGTAATTGTGGTAGGACACTTTCATACTTTGAATTAACTGACCTAATGGCAGCATGTAAATATTGAACAGGAGAGGTCCCAGAATCGACCCCTGTGGCACTCCGCAGGTCAGGGCCATATTATCTGAGACCTAGTCTCCAATCTCCACACAATACTTCCTTTCTTCTAGATAGGACCTAAACCAGCTTAGGGCGGTACCAGCAACACCAACCCAGTCCTCCAGTCTCTGCATGAGAATCTCATGGTCAACGGTGTCGAAAGCGGCACTCAGATCTAACATGACTAAAACAGAGACTTTTCCTGCATCAGTGTTAAGCCGAATATCATTTGTTACCTTGACTAGAGCAGTCTCAGTACTGTGGTGTGGTCTAAAGCCAGACTGGAACATGTCAAATGAGTCATTAGATATTAAAAATTCAGTAAGTTGTTGGTAGGCAACTTTTTCAAGAATTTTTCCCATGAAAGGCAGATTTGAGATGGGACGGTAATTTTCAAGTACCGCAGCATCCAAACTGATCTTTTTTAGGAGGGGCCTGATGACTGCCTTTTTCAGGGCCATTGGAAATGTTCCAGATAAAAAAGACATGTTTACTATTTGTGTCAATGAGGGTAATAGACTACACATAACAGACTTCAGAAATCTAGGAGGTAGTACATCCAGACTGCAGGTAGAGGAACTAAGACCTGTGATTATCTTTTTAACAGTTTCATCATTGACAGGTGCAAATTGAGCTAGCTCACAAAGCCTCACTGGATGTTGCATTGTTACTTGTGTTGTAGAGGTGATGGCATTTCTGATACCCTGAACCTTGTCTCTGAAGAACTGTGCAAACTCATTACACCTGGATTTGGAGTAGTGTTCTAATGGCAACTCAACAGGGGGGTTCGTTAATCTATTGATTGTTGAAAATAGAACACGCAGATTGTTGCTGCAGCCTTCAATAGTTTCAGAAAAGTATAATTCTCTTGTTCTACGTAGTACTCTGTTAAACTCACACAACTTCTCTTTTAAGAGTTTATAATCACCCTGGAGGTTGGACTTTCTCCACTTTCTCTCTGCTCTCCGGCACTCCTGCTTCTGTGCCCTGACCGGGCCTGCTTTTATCCATGGGGCTTTTTGCTTATTTGTGACCATTTTTACCTTCACAGGGGCAATGGCGTCCAGAACATTCAACACACTAGAGGTGACAGAGTTTAAACAGTTCATCTACAGTAGAACATGATGTGTTCTCAAAATGGATCATTCCCATAAATAGTTCACCCGTGTTTTCATTTAAGTGTCTACTTCTAACAATTTCATATTTAGCGGGTGGTCTGGTAGCAAAACACATGTTAAAAAATACACAGAAATGATCCGACAGAGCAACATCAACTACATTAACTTTTGAAATATTCACCCCTTTCGTGATAAGCAGGTCCAGGGTGTGTCCTCTGCTATGGGTGGGGCCACTCACATGCTGAGTGAGGCCAAAGGATTCAAGTATGGAACTCAGCTCTTTTGCGTATCTGTCATTAACATTATCCATATGAATATTAAAATCGCCTATAATGACTAAACCATCAAAATCTGTGCACACAACTGAAAGCAACTCAGTGAAATGATCAGTGAAACTATGGCATGACTGTGGCGGCTTGTACACAACAATAATAAGAATGGAAGAAGATTTCTTTTGTTCTATTTTAAAAGAAACATACTCAAATGATGAAAATTTCCCAAGAGACACTCTATGGGAGACAATACGATCTTTAAAAACTGCTGCTATGCCCCCCCCCCCTTTTATTTTCTCGTGTTTCATATTCAAATTTGAAATTTGGTGGTGAGGCTTCTATGAAAACTGCATCTCCTGTATTATGGTCAAGCCATGTTTCAGTCATAAACATAAAATCAAGATCATACGAACAGATAAAATTATTAATTAAAAATGATTTGTTGCATAGTGATCTGACATTAAGTAGAGCAAGGTTAAAATTAATATCAGTGTCAGTGGGTTTAGTTGATTGATTACAAAGAACTGGAATTAGATTTCCAGAGTTGGACCGTCTAACTGCTGTCCTTCTTTTAAATTTGTGTTTATTCAAGTTAAAACACATTTCTGAGCTGGTGCGAGGAACACACACAGTCTCTATTGGTTTAAAAAGTGAACTCTGTTGTACTTTGTTAAGTTCCAGATGCATAACTGAGTCAGCACAGTTCAGTGGCAGGACTGTCGTTACACTGCCAGACGGACAGGGGTCAGTGTTTGCACCACAGTACTCACCCGGTGCTGGTAAGGAGGAGGAGGGGGGTGGTGGGGGCCGAGAAGCCTCAGATGTAAACAGTCACGCCCCCCTCGGGGAGCACTGAACAACATGGCGTAGGAAGTCCGTCAACAAACTGGTGCCGTATTTGTTCGGGTGCAGACCATCTGGACGATAGGCCACGTGACGCTTCCAGAACAGGCCAAAGTTGTTCACAAAAATAAAGTTAAAAGTGCTGCATGTAGACTGGAGCCACATGTTGAGCGCCACAACGCGACTGTAGAGGCAGTCACCCCGGTTTACAGTCGGGACTGGACCAGAAATAAAAACGGATAACCCGGAGGACTGGAGGAGGCGGAACAGATTCATAAAGTGCTTCTTTGTGACCTCTGACTGCTGCAGCTTCATATCATTTATACCCACATGCACGATTACCTTGGATATGGTATCGGGCAGGGAGTGAAGCAGAGGAGGGAGACGGATGAGCAGATCTGGGACAGTAGCTCCGGAATGCAGTGAGTGACCGCGTTAAAAAAGCGGACGTGCCTCACGATGGAATCTCCAACAATCAGAGTAGTCGGGGCGAAGAGTGGACGCGGCCGCGGAGAGGGCGCTCGGTGTCCATGGCCAGAACCAGCGGGCTCATCCAGGGATGGGTCCGAACCAGGGCGCTGCTGAACACATGGAGAGGAGTGGGGGAGTTGATTCCCAGCTCCGGGCAACCCACGCTGTGTGCACGGAGACGCTGGAGCAGCGAGAGGAGCAGGCTCGGGTCGCTGCTGCTGACCCGGTGAAGGTAAGTGGTGGTGATGCACTGGGGTCAGAGAAGGGGAATGATCACTCTTTCGTCTGAGGACAGCTTCCTTTAAGAGTGTCTTTCTCGCAGTGGACCTGGATCCACGGACAGCAGTAGAGTTTGCTGCAGAGTCCAGGGGTTCTGCTGAGGGGGCTGGGATGTCAGCGGAGAGGGCTGCATAGCGGTTTGAAAGGCTCAGGACATGGGCCACGGCGCTGGATGGCTCCTCGCAGTCCGCAGGCTCTTTATTCCGAACCGGGCACTTAGGTGTAGAACAAGAGGGCCCAGAGCTGACAGATCTCTCCCACACGACAGTGTCACAGTATGCAGCGCTCAGTGACATAAGCCGTGAGTGCTGCCCGCCAGCGACATCAAAAAGTTTGGACACGAGTGACTGTTTATCCTGCAGCTCTGCAGTGAGGCGAAGGACTTCTTTACGGAGGTCTGCAATAGTGGCACGGTCCCTGTCAATAGCTCCATTTTCTCTCAATTGATAAATGATCCCACACGTTTTACCCCCACATCCCAATCCCTTCTGGATTGTATCTTAGTGACTCATCCAGATAGATTCCTTGAATCTGGTGTTAGCAGACTGTTTCAGTGATCACTGCATTGTATATTGTATTTGAAATATTAAACCGCCTTGTCTTCCCCCTAAATTTGTAAAAATTCGAATAACAAAACTGTTTAACTTGTATAACTTTGTTACTGATGTTCTGGATAATAACTGGGACAGATTTGATCTAATCTATAAATCATCTATAAATGAAGCCTGGGACTATTTTTATTCTGAATTTTAACTGTAATTAACAAACATGCACCTTTGACTGAAATGGGATTAAAGGAAACAATCTTCCCTGGTTGAATTATTACTATCAATATTAACATTATTATCCTTATGTATTGTAATTACAGTACAGTACAGTCATACTGTACTGTACAATAATATACAACATGTATATTGTTTATGGTTCGTTTTGGATTTATTTTTTTATTATTTACTTGAATTGTTGTTTTGTTTACATCCGTTTGGCTGTATCTGTCACATTGTCAAATCTTGAGGACCCACTTAAAAACAAGATGATTAATCTCAAGGGGCTTTTCCTCTAAACAAAAAAAAACAAAAACAAATCTTCTCAGGGGCCCTGAGGATGAGGATCAGGTTCTGTGGATGTTTGAACTCAGCTGACAGTGTGTTTTTCACCTTGAAAGTTCGAGGAACGCCGACAGGAGCCACGGTTTCCAAGACTTTTTCCCATAAACAGCAAGACTCATCACTGCACTGGATTTAAGGAGCATCTTTCGTAGCAAGATAATTATGATCATGTATTTAAAATGAAGAGAGACAAAATAGACAGAGAGAAAGAGACCAGAGAGAGACCACAAAAGATAGTAAGAAACCACCAAACAGAGAAAACAGGTCTGTCAGATATACAGAAAGGTCAAATGCATAGAACACATTTCCCTACCAGTACAATATAGTACTGTACTGTACTGTAACTCCCTGTGCTGCCACCAGAGGGAGGAGTAACTTTTGTTTTGTCTTTTTCAAAAGTCCATGTGATTGCAAAGCACCTCATTCCACCTGAGGAGCTTCAAAGACCTTGACCACTGCAGTAGATTCCTCTAATTTGGGCAGAGTCATCGTCTTCGTGACTCACTTGATCTGCACAAGTCTTCTGCAGATCAAGAAGACTTGATCTGCAGAAGATCAAGAGTGAAAAAGTAGCAGAGCTTTACAAACTAGTAGCAGACGCGCGCTTCACCTGTAGGCGCGCGTCACCTGTAGGCGCGCGTCACCTGTAGGCGCGCGTCTGGGCAGGCTGCTCACAGCAGGGGCAGTAATGATTTACATGTTTTACTATTTCCCCTCACATTTAGCATTTTTCAGTGTGAGTTTCCTGACCTAGTGATTGGTATGACTGTCAGTAAAAAAAAATATATATATATATATTTTATCCATGATTTCCAATACCATATGACATCATAAAATGCAGGAGATTAGATGGATATTTTTCTAATTTACTGAAAGCCTTTATCTCTAATCACTTTTAAGTTACAGCCTTTTGAAACTAAGGGTGTATTCAGAGCAGAAACGTCCTTTGCTTAGCCTGCTTGGTCCGAACCAAAAGCAGACCAAACATTTTTCGTATTCAGACTGTACTTTTTACAAGTGAACCTTTTTTATAAACATATCGACGCATGTGATGATCGGCGCTCCAATTGGACAGCGAGAGCTCACGGAGAATAGATACGGAAATTGAGGAAAATATTGAGCTCGTACGTGCTGCATGTCTGCTCTGCCTATGTTTGTTCTTTTTAGAGCAAAACGACCTTCAACATCAACAGCAACTCATTCGACACAGGCAAAACGCGTTGTTTCACATTTTGGAACAGCGTTGGCGAATGCGTGATGAGAAAGCCGAAGGAGACTCTGTGCGCTACGTGCCCTGTCCCACAACTTACTGACAGCAGCATTGTGGATAAACAGACAAGGGAGAATCAGGTATGAACCAAAGAACACAATTCACTACATGATACGGGATATTGCTTTTTGAGACTTGAGTCAAACACGTGAGGCTTTTAATAATGCAAATGATTTGAACATGCTGCCATTCACATCACTGTATACTGTGAAAAGTTTTAACTCCAATAGCCTGTTGCACAGTGTCTCCTCGTTGCTCCAGGTCTGCCCACGGCCCATTGTTGTTGTGTAGCGTTTGCAGCTGTGACGCGTGGCTAATTCCTCACAGTTCCTGTCTGCGGTGGCTTGTTAAGCCCAAAACATTTGCATGTATCCTGGAGTTGTGTCGGATCGACACCGGTTGTATTCAGACCTGAATCGACTTGGACCAGAGTTTGTTTGGAAGCGGACCAAGACCACCAAAAAAAGGGGGTCTCGGTCCAGTTCTTTGGTCCAGACCAGGATTCGTTTTTTTGTGTATTCACACCTGCATAAAAGGTTCGGATCAGAGTTCCAAACAATTCCTGGTCCGTTTAAAGTGGACCAAATGTGCAGGTCTGAATACACCCTAAGATGTTAAAATCAAGCGTTTTAGAAATAAACCTCTGGCGCTTACAATGTATAAAAAACCAAAATGAAAAAAAAATTGTATGTATGTCCTTTTTTAAATAGAAAACATGTCTAATAAACATGTTTACTATTTTAAAAGTTGGGGTGGGGAAGGATACGGTGCACCAGGGGTTTGGTGACGTAGACGGCCTCCGCTGTGATCTGGTGCAGCTTCAGGTCTGTGGATCGGATCTGGAGCTGGTCCTCTGGAGACCGAGGTCTGGAACGGGACTGAGGACACTCCCGAGTCCTGGACTGCCCCAAGGGACCTGCCACACACACCACATATAATCTCCAAAATATGACACAAAACATTTTACATTTCAGCCTGTGGTATATTTTTGGAATATTTTTAAAATACATTTTAATATATTTGGTATGTATTTTTAAATATCGGTTGTGTATTTTTGGTGTGTGGCTCACACTCACCGGAGACCATCGGCCGAATCACTCGTCCGGATCTTTGACCAACGAAACAAACATCTTCCGCCAAATTGAGCACCTGTGCGTCAGCGCCCTCTGTGGACAAAACAATCATCAACCTTCATCTTTAACCCTGAAGGCCAAGCACTCACAAGCCTGAGGACCGAGCCTTCCGAGCCCTGGGGACTGAGCCTTCCCAGTAGCTGCCCTCACTCTCTGTAACTCTCTCCCACAACAAATCAGGAACCCGGACTCACTTCAGAACTTCAAATCACTGATCAAAGCAGATCTGTTTATTGTAGCTTTTATTTTATTTTTAACCTGCCCTTTTGTGAAACATATTAGAGCGTCCAAAAAGAGGTACAATGGGGCAACAACGTATTTAGTCAGCTACCAATTGTGCAAGTTCTCCCACTTAAAAAGATGAGAGAGGCCTGTAATTTTCATCATAGGTAGACCTCAACTATGAGAGACAAAATGGGAAATAAAAATCCAGAAAATCACAGCCGGATTTTTAAAGAATTATGGTGGAAAATCAGTAGTTAAGTCAATAACAAAAGGTAATCTCAATACTTTGTTATACGCCCTTTGTTGGCAGTGACAGAGCTCAAACATTTCTCTAACTCTTTGTAACCCATATTAAAATTCTGGTTGCCTTCCACTGTATTATTTTCATTCCTACCGTTCCTCGTTACCATAGTAACGCTAGTCTCGCGATACTCCGCGGGGCAGTCTCAAACGCAACTTCCAGTAGTTATAATCAGAGTTACTGCGGCTCCACCGGTAATTAATAGTTACTTAATGTAACTTAAGTTCTACGAATAGGTGCGTAGTCCCTTAGGACTTCGCTAGTGGGATATCACTCGTGACCCCCAGGTCAAACGCCAGAGAGATCAAAATAATTTGCTCCAATCACCAGCCACCTTCCTCTATAAATGCCCCTGCACAAGGCCGCACCCCCTCTTGAACTCTGCCAAGCCGGGCTGGCCTGATGGGCTCGTAGCTAAGGGACTACGCACCTATTCGTAGAACTTAAGTTACATTAAGTAACTATTAATTCTACGTCATGGTGCTACGTCCCTTAGGACTTCGCTAGTGGGACACAACGCGGAGGCCGTAGGAAAATGTACTCCCAGCAGGCCAGCGAAGGGTGATTGGAGCTCCGCCCGAGCAAGACCCTCACAAAGTGAGAGGACTCAGGACAGAAGAAACAATGCGTGTTACAGGGCCACTCCTACCAAGGATACCCCCACGTAACACAGATATAGGTCATCCGTAGTCACAGGACGCCTCTCCCAAGGGCTCCTGACGTGGACTACCAGACCGACCAAAACACACATATAAGTACCGCACCTGTAGGATGCCTCTCCCAAGAGCTCCTGAACCAGGGCGGAAAAGTAAACCGAAGGCCCCCTCAGAGGAGGAGGGACCTAACGGTCTAACTCAGTCCGCTGCACTCAGCACGGAATGGGCCACCGACCGGTCCGACACATCCAAAAGATAAGACCGGACGAAAGAGGAGGACGAAGCCCAAGAAGCCGCACGGCATACGTCCTCAACCGACACCCCCCTGAGAAGGGCCGTAGAGGCTGCCATCCCACGCGTGGAATGCGACCTGAAGCCCACCGGGAGGGCCAGACCCTGCGTCTGATACGCCCGCCGCACAGCCGTGGCAACCCAGTGCGCCAGCCGCTGAGCCGACAGCGGGGCGCCCCTGTTCTTGGGGCCCAGACACACAAACAGCTGGCCACCCAACCTGAATGACGACGTCATGGCCAGGTAATGCCTCAGCATTCTGACAGGACACAGAAGGTGCCGCCGCTCCTCCTCGGGGGAGGCATGCGGTGGCGGATAGAAAGCCCTAATCCTGATGACTCTCGACCTAAAGGCCGACGTGATGACCTTGGGGAGAAAAGCCGGATTAGGCCACAATACCACCATGCCGTCGCACAAGCGCACACAAGTCGCCCGCCCTCTTAGCAGACGCCAACGCCAACGCCAACAAGAGGGCCGTCTTAAAGCGACACACTCGGGACTCGCCTCCGCCGCCGGTTCAAAAGGCGGACCCGACAGCCCCCTAAGGACCACCCTGAGGTCCCAAACCGGGGCGTTATCTGGAGCGGGGGCCTCCTCCTGCGTGCCCCCCGCAGAAAACGTTTAACCAACGGATGAGAGCGGGCTGTGAACCCCCCGAATCCGTCGTGACCCGAAGTAATGGCTGCCGCGAACACCGCCAAGGTGGCGACAGCCCTCCCCTTGTCAAAGAGCTCCTGTAGGAATCCCAGGACCCCCTCCAGCGGGCAACGCCTGGGATCCCAGGAACGAAAACCGCACCAGTCGCTAGAGAGCCTCCACCTCGTGGCGTAGGCCCTCACAGTGGACGGCGCCCTCGCCCCCTGAGTGGTCTCCACCACCGCAGGGGAAAGACCCAGGTCTACGAGGTTCCGCCTCTCAGCCTCCAACCCAGAGCCTGCGGCCGATTATCGGGCGTGAAAACAGGGCTCCTCCCCCCCTGGACTAGAGCCCCCGTCTCGTCCGGGAGGGCCCAGGGCTCCATCACCGCCATGCCCCTCAGGAAGGGGAACCACCGGACATGCGGACTGTCCGGCGCCACCAGGATCACCGACCTCCTCTCCTGTTCGATCCTCCGCAGCAGGACCGGCAGGAGACGCACTGGTGGGGAACGCGTACAGCAGGCCCCCTGGCCAGGGGTAATGAGCCAGAGCGTCCACGTCTAAAGGCGGCTGGTCCGCGGCCCTTGAGGCGAACCAGGACGGGCACTGTGCGTTTCCTACACTGGCGAAAAAAAGGTCGACCACTGGACGGCCGAACCTCCGCCAGCTCTCCGCAGCCACCCCTGGGGCCAGGCCCCACTCGTCCTGGAGTGGGCCCCCCCCCTGGACATCCTGTCGGCCCCCACGTTCCGGACCCCCGGGACGTGGCGCGCCCTGAGAGACAGGAGGTGAAGCGCCGCCCACAGCAGCGTCACCTTCGCCATGCGATGGAGAGCGGGGGACCTGGTGCCCCCCTGCCTGTTCAGATAGGAGACCACTGTGGTGTTGTCTGAGCGCACCATCACGTGCCTCCCCTGCAGCTGAGGAGCAAAGTGCAGCAGTACCCTGTGCACTGCCTCCATCTCCAGCAGGTTGATGTGACGGGCTGAGTCCGACCAGCAGCCTCCTACAGAACTCTGGCCGAGGACCCCGCCCCATCCTTCGAGCGACGCGTCCGTGAACATCTCCACGTGAGACACGGCGCCGGCCAGAGTCACTCCGTCCCGTAGAAGACCCGGAGTGAGCCAACCTGATGTTCGATGCTGCCACTTGGGGAACCCAGATCAGCCTCCCCCCGTCCCGGGAGGGGTGAAGCCTGAGGCGTGAGAACCACCTCTGAAAATTCCTCGTGTTGAGAAGGCCTAGCCGCACCACAGCATGAGCCGCTGCCATCATTCCCAGCAGGGACCTGAGGCGCCGAGCGGGGACTCTGGGGCCCGCCAGAACCTCCCCGGGCAGACGGGTAGTGTTCATCCGTCTGTCCACTGACCATGCAGCACGGAATGTCACAGAGTCTAGCTGCAGACCGAGATAGATCATGCGCTGAGCCGGTTGCAGCCTGCCTCTACGTCATGGTGCTACGTCCCCTAGCGGACTTCGCTAGTGGGATATCACGTGCACCTATTCGTAGAACTTAAGTTACAAAGGTAACTGTTAATTTTCTCCCTGTTAACCACAAAGCCCAGGCGCTGTATGTGGGACAGGACCCAGTGCGTATGACTCACGGCCACTTCCCTGGATGAGGCCAGAATTAACCCGACGTCTATGTAGATTAATTCTTACCCCTGCTCCACGGCGCGAGTGCGTAGCCCAAGGGGAAAACGACAGTACTCGTAATTCCTCTCTCCCACTGCGAAGCGCAGAACCTCCTGTGTTCCGGTACTATCGGCACGTGGAAGTACGCATCTGTCAGGTCTATGGAGGACATCCAGTCTCCTTCCCTGACACACTCGAGGAGCTGCCTTGTGGACAGCATCCGAAACTGCCGTTTGGAACTGCACTCGTTTAACACGCGCAGATCCAGAATGGGACGCACCCCGCCTGATTTCTTTGGCACTAAGAAGTAAGGGGAGTACAGCCCCCTGGTGGCGTCCTGCGGGTCTACCTCCACTGCTGCGCCTCGACTCAGCAGAGAGGAGACCTCCGCTTGTAGTGCCTCTGTCGATCCCCGTACCTGAGAGCGTACTGCCCGTACGCCTCGGAATGGTGGTGGCTTTCGGAAAAATTGCAGCGCGTAACCTCTGCGCAGAGTTTTCTCCAGCCAAATATCTGTCAGTAGGCCCTGCTCCCTCCAGATGTTTTATAAATCTGTGAGGGGCGGAACGGGAGATGGAACACGAGACGTCACGGCCCCGCCCCCTCCTGGTGTTCCTAGCAGGGAGGGGGGGGTGGACAAAAGGGCCGGGGGGCCCCCTGCGTCACACCGTGAGCGCCGGAGGCGGTCACGTGTCCTGCAGGCCCGACGTCATAAGTACGGGACTGCTCACCACACGTGACTCGGCTGCTGTGCCCCCCCCTGGCTCTTGCCTCATGGAGGGGGGGGCGAGCCCCTGGAGTGGGAAACCCCGTGTCAGCCTTGTAGCTCTGCTCACCACACGTGACTCGGCTGCTGTGCCCCCCCCTGGCTCTTGCCTCATGGAGGGGGGGGGCGAGCCCCTGGAGTGGGAAACCCCGTGTTAGCCCTGTAGCTCAGAAATGCTAACACGCGTTCGGCCGAAGCACACACATATCACTCACCAGATCCCTCCGCCTGACCTCTCTCTGGGAGGGCATAGTATGGATCAGAGAAACCGGAGCTCGTAGTGCACTGCACGCCCCTCTCTGGGGCTGCAGGCCTAGCGAAGCAACGTTATGTGCCCGGGAAGTAACACAATCAGAATTCACAATATTTGACATGTTACATACCCCCAAATGAGACTCAGAAAAGTAATGGAAATGCCGGTCGGCCTTTATTGAAGGAAACATTTTTCCACCCCGGCCTCCTCTACCATAGGGAGGTCGGTGGTGGGTGCGTTGCTCCCGCGAGCCACCCATGGGTCTGTCTGGACCCGGGGGCCTCGTCAAGGGGGGACGATGGATAACAGAGCGCGGATACGGGTCAGGATGCCTCCCGGGCCAACGCTCTCTGCCTCTGTCCCGGCTCCGTGATGGTTGGTGGGCCTCGCGCCTCGGTGCTAGGTGCGGGGCTAGCCTAGCCGAGTCTTTAGCTGCAGACTCCAGTCTCGCCACCCAGGCCTGCATGTCCGGGCCGAAGAGGGACATCTGAGAGGTGGGCAGGTCCAGCAGCTGCCTCCTCTCCGCCTCCCTGATATTAGCCAGCCCAAGCCAAAGGTGCCTGGCCCGACTTGGGCTGCTGCCATGGAGCGGCCACCATCCACAGCTAGCGTCTGGCACATGCGCAGAGTCGCGGCCGAGGTGGTCCTCGCCTGTGACAGGAGGTCTCCACTGAGCGCCTGGTCAGAAGAGAGCAACATATCCAGGGCCCCCGTGATGAATGCCATGTAGTTAGTCAATGCGAGGACCTGTGCTGCAATGGCATAACATCTATCCGGCATCGCCAAGACATCCTGTCTCGCTCGGAGGGAAGGAGAGGTCTGGTGCCGGGCCACACGAATGCGGAGGGCTGCAGGGCCATGCGGACTGAATCCTCGGTGTCCTGGCCACCATCCACGGCTAGCGTCTGGCACATGCGCAGGAACGCCGCCGAGGTGGTCCTCGCCTGTGACAGGAGGTCTCCACTGAGCGCCTGGCCAGAGGAGAGCGCCCTATCCAGGGCCCCCGTGATGAAAGTCATGTTGTTAGCCAATGTGACGACCTGTGCCGCATTGGCATAATATCTATCCAGCCTCGGCAAGACATCCTGTCCCACTCGGGGAGAAGGAGAGGTCTGATGTCGGGCCACACGGATGCGGAGGGCTGCAGGGCCATGCGGACTGAATCCTCAATCACCGGTCCAGGACCAGTCCTGCCCGCTGCAGTATATGTCGTACCCCAGAGCAGGCCTCTTGGCTGCTAGGGGCTTAGGCCACTCACGTGTCGCGTAATGGACGAACGGGTCCATCCGCGGGCACAACGTGGGTTTTATCCTCCTCCTCCCTCGAGTGGTGGCACCCACAGAGGTGAAGTCCTCCACCGTCTGGATCCAGTGACGACGTCCGACGCCGGAGGGCGAAGGGAACTCGGACGAACAAGGAAGACATCTCAGAATGAAGAAAGTACTGTGGTAGATCTCGAACGGAGGGTGCGGCCTTGTGCAGGGGCATTTATAGAGGAAGGTGGCTGGTGATTGGAGCAAATTATTTTGATCTCTCTGGCGTTTGACCTGAGGGTCACGAGTGATATCCCACTAGCGAAGTCCTAAGGGACGTAGCACCATGACGTAGAACTGGGTGGGATGCCAGACTGAGTTGGCTGCAGATGCCTCTGTCCTTACTGAGCACATTGTGTGTTTGAGTGCTCTGTATTCTGCAAGGAACCGGCCAGGTCCTCAATACTTACTGGGCTTCAGGAGAGTACATCTTTATTTGATTCTGCAAACTTCCAACGCTTTTGGGGACAATATTCATACTCTGGACTAATTATTCAAACGAACTATCTCTGCTGCTTTTACACATGGACAATAACCCATCGCGTTGTGGATTACACTCTTGAGTTAGAGTTCTGGACTGTGGACCATACCATATTCCGATCAACTACCAACAGTGCACTTTGTACATATTGTATATATTTCTGTATATTGTTTCACATGTACATATCATTCATCACAATACAAAACCCATAATCGTACCCTCGTATCTGTGTTTTATTAAGCATTGTCTCACTTTCCTCCGAGCCGAATCAGTTCTTCTTAGTTTATATTATTTGTTCTTCTCTAATCACGTGACGTACATGTTACATCTTCACAAGGTTTTCACACACTGTTGCTGCTATTTTGGCCCATTGCTCCATGCAGATGCACTCTAGAGCAGTGATGTTTTGGGGCTGCCGCTGGGCAACACGGGCTTTCAACTCCCTACAAAGATTTTCTATGGGGTTGAGATCTGGAAATTGGCTAGGCCACTCCAGGATCTTGAAATGCTTCTTACGAAGCCACTCCTTTGTTGCTGTGTGTTTGGGATCACTGTCATGCTGAAAGACCCAGCCACGTTTCATCTTCAATGCTCTTGTTTATAGAAATAGGCTTTCATTCAAAATCTCACGATACATGGCCCAATTCATTCTTTCCTTTACACGGATCAGTCGTCCTGGTCCCTTTGCAGAAAACAGCCCCAAAGCATGACGTTTCCACCCCCCATGCTTCACAGTAGGTATGGTGTTCTTTTGTATGAAACTGAAATTTTGATTTCAGCTGATCATATGACAATCCCTTTTTGGATAATCCAAATGCTCTATAGCAAACTTCAGACGGGCCTGGACATGTACTGGCTTAAGCAGGGGGACACGTCTGGCACTGCAGGATTTGAGTCCCTGTCGGTGTAGTGTGTTACTGTTGGTAGCCTTTGTTACTTTGGTCCCAGCAGGTCATCCACGAGGTCCCCCCGTGTGGTTGTGGGATTTTTGCTAATCGCTCTTGACCATTTTGATCCCACGCGGTGAATCTTGCGCAGAGCCGTAGATTGAGGCAGATTATCAGAGGTCTTGTATGTCTTCCATTTTCTTACTAATTGCTCCCACAGTTGATTTCTTCGCACCAAGCTGCTTACCTATTGCAGATTCAGTCTTCCCAGCCTGGTGCGGGTCTACAATTATATTTTTGGTGTCCTTTGACAGCTCGTTGGTCTTGGCCATAGTGGAGTTGGGAGCGTGACTGTTGAGGATGTGGACAGGTGCCATTCATACTGATAACGAGTTCAAACAGGTGCCATAAAAATAAGTAACGAGTGAAGGACAGAGGAGCCTCTTAAAGAAGGAGTCACAGGTCTGTGAGAGCCAGAAATCTTGCTTGTTTGTAGGTGACCAAATACTTATTTTCCCCCATAATTTGCAAATAAATTCTTTAAAAATCAGATCAAATGAAAATGTTATTTTTGGGATTTTCTGTCCCTCATAGTTGAGGACGTATACCAATGGGCACGGTCACAAAGGTTTTTACAAACAAACTCGGCCAAGTGGCCCGGATCGTCGGCACAGGGGTGTGAAGACAACCCGCGGTCACAAGGGTTTCTTTTCTCAACCGTGCCAGATCAACTGTCATGTAGTTGGTCCAGCTGGTGGCGCTAATACTAACTTCAGCAACTACCTCGTTGTCGAGAGTTTAGTTTCCGTTTCTCTTCCTGTTTACATTTTGCAACTGTGGCCACAGCTCGATCATTTATTGCGTTCTTTGCATCAGAGTCAACGTGTCTGTCCCCAAAGTGCAGCAGCTCAGTGGGTAACGTGTGTGCATGTGTGCAAGCGCCGCGGACACAGGAGCGCGCCTTGGAGTAAAGAGTGTAAGCGCTGAGAAATGAATGAAAGACTATGAAAGAATGAAAGGTGTGGTGTACAATTAGAGCAACAGGAGCCAGGCAGGATACAATTGAATGAGTCTGATTGTTATTGCATAAGCACCACACTGTGAGAGCGAAGATCAGAACAGAAGGGAGTTATCCCCTGTAGGAAACGCTTCCCTTTGGCGATGCAACGGGTGCAGCAGAATGACGTAATGTGACGCACAATATCAAGTCCCCACCAAAACTCATCCCCCACTCCCCACCACCCGCCACATTGACCTCCCCCATCTGTGCTTTAGAAGTGTGCTCAGGCTCACCTCTCTCAACCGTATTCAGGCCCACTTGCAGCAACCATGAGTTCAAGCTCAGTGGCTGTGGCACATAGTACCTAAAGCCCGGATCTAATAGCGAAGTGGCCCACTTTAACCTGGCTTTAGGCTGTGCATGTGACCGCAGCCTTAGAAGAAAATTACAGGTCTCCCTCATCTTTTTAAGTGGGAGAACTTGCACAACTGGTGGCTGACTAAATACTTCTTTGGCCCACTATTATAATGGCCAACACATTTTTTGCCAATCCGTCACACGCTCTGATCTCAGAGTGCAGACTGTTGCCTTCAGGAAGGCGGTTTAGTGTCCCCTGATGCCAACTGAACAGATATAAAAACTCTGCTGTGCCCTTTTCTATTGGGCTGTTGAACAGAGCCATATAGATTAAGCACAGACCGTCAGGCTCAATAAACGGGACGGACATTTGAGTGAACAATGGAAATTATGGATTGTTTTGATGTTTTACTGCCATTTACTTTTATATTTTGTATCTTTGTAGGCTTCTTAATTGTTTTTTATGCTTGGTTTTAATTGGCTTTATATGCTTCTTAATTGTTTTTTGTACACTGGTTGGCTGCAGCATGGATGACAATTTCCCCCTGTCTGGGACAATAAAGTTTATCTTGAATCTTGAATCTTATTACTATTATCATAAGCCAGAGGTGGTGGCGGACCTTCAGTTCCAAAGTCTGAGTTCCTGTCCAGGGGGATGATGGGAGGTGAAGTCCCGATCCCAGACTTGTACCACAGCAGTAGAATCAGCCGGAAAACTGCCCTAAAGCACACAAATGGATCATTTTTAATCTCACAAGGGGAAACTCAAATTACTATCAGGGGACAAACAATACAAAGTCATCATTATTTAAAAAAAGAAAAGAAAAAAGAGCAACCTCGGTCCTGGATCTACAGGCTCGGTCTTGGATCTACACCTCGACCCTGTATCTACACCCTCAGTCCTGGATCTACTGCCTCAGCCCTGGATCTACTGCCTCAGCCCTGGATCTACTGCCTCAGCCCTGGTACAGGTCACAAAAGGTGGTTGTACTTTACGATCTGGACGAGTGCGATGACGACCCAGCGACCCACGTCACCCCCAGCTCTACAGGCCCCCAACTCCAGGAACACCTCCACAGACTCCAACACGGAGAGCCAGGTCCGGAGCCTCTGTTGCGACAGGCTCTGAGGAGACACAAGGGGTCAGTGTGTGACCCAGGGACTGGTCACATGAGGTCAGTGTGTCTGAACTGGGACCAGGTTCTAAAGCTGTGTTTCTCACCACAGGAAAGGGACTCTTCAGGTGTTTTCTTAAGATGCTGTCGTTGAACAACACCAGGAGATTAGAGACAGAATAAACTGAAAAACAAACCATTAACAATCAGCAGTGGAACAAACTGGGGAAAAAACCATTAAAAGAGACCAGTGAGGGTCCAACAAGAGAGAAACCACAGACCAGAGACAGAAACCAGATAGAGACCAGAGTGAGAGAGACAATAAGTGAGACCAGAGAAAGAGACCAGAGTGAAATACCAGAAAGAAAACCAGGAGAGAGAGATCAGAGGGAGATCTGCTCTCTAATATTACATTTCATGTGGTCGAACTTTTTGATTCTCTGATATGTTGTTGGTGAATCCCCAACTTTATGAAGTCCTCTGGGACAACCGCTGCTGTGATTTTTGGCGATTTTTTAAAAATTGCTCTGGAACTTTGACAGTGATAGTCCATCCATTTGTGGAAAAATTCTTCTCACAAGTAAAACATCAATGATTAGATATTGATAATTTCCTCAGCATTGATCTAAGACAAAAAGCAGGAATTACCAAACTTTCTAGTAAGACAGCCACTTTAGTTCACCAGACTTTTCCAAGGGCCAACACAGATTCTAAAACGTTTTGGACTTTTTTACAGGCTGTTCATTTTATTTGTGTTTGACAGAGATGAAGTTGGCTGGATAATTACTCTCTTACCAGCTCAGCGCCATAGACAGAATTTAGCAACACAATTAAGAACAAAGGTCAGGATTAGGGCTGTCAAACTACAGCTTGTTAATAACAGCTTAAAAATGTATTAATCGTAATTAATTGCATTTCTAGCCTTCTGCAAAATTATGCCATATTTTTCTGTAAATGGTTGTTTGAATGGAAAGACAAATGACAACATTGAGTACATGTGTACTGTATTTGTTTTTTTATAACAACAATAAATCCACATAAAATGGCATTAACATTATTAACATTCTGTCTTTCTGTTGTAGACACAGACCAAGACTATTGTTTGTTACAGGGATGAGAATGGGACATTTAAAAAAAGTCTGAATTGCAGAATGTCATCAAATCTGTTTGATTTGCTCACGACATTTTACAATTGGGCACAACCAACATGAAATGGTAGTGGAAGAGAAAAATTAGGTACCCCAGCTTCAATTTAGCAAGTTTAAATGCACTTTGGGAGGAGACACGGACTCCATAGTCCAGCTTCACGGGTGTATTTACAGTGCCTTGCGAAAGTATTCAAACATAAAGATATAAAATTTATTTTTTTTGTCATGAATCAACAACAAGTGGGACACAATCGTGAAGTGGAACGAAATTTATTGGATAATTTTAACTTTTTTAACAAATAAAAAACTGAAAAGTGGTGCCAATATTATTCGGCCCCTTTACTTTCAGTGCAGCAAACTCACTCCAGAAGTTCAGTGAGGATCTTTGAATGATCCAATGTTGTCCTAAATGACTGATTGATGATAAATAGAATGCACCTGTGTGTAATCAAGTCTCTGTATAAATGCACCTGCTCTTTGATAGTCTCAGGGTTCTGTTTAAAGCGCAGAGAGAACCATGAAGACAAAGGAACACACAGGCAGGTCCGAGATACTGTTGTGGAGAAGTTTAAAGCCGGATTTGGATACAAAAAGATTTCCCAAGCTTTAAACATATCAAGGAGCACTGTGCAAGCACTTATATCGAAATGGAAGGAGTATCAGACCACTGCAAATCTACCAAGACCCGGCCGTCCCTCCAAACTTTCATCTCAAACAAGGAGAAGACTGATCAGAGATGCAGCCAAGAGGCCCATGATCACTCTGGATGAACTGCAGATAACTACAGCTGAGATGGGAGAGTCTGTCCATAGGACAACAATCAGTCGTGCACTGCACAAATCTGGCCTTTATGGAAGAGTGGCAAGAAGAAAGCCATTTCTCAAAGATATCCATAAAAAGTCTTGTTTAAAGTTTGCCACAAGCCACCTGGGAGAAACGTGGAAGAAGGTGCTCTGGTCAGATGAAACCAAAATCGAACTTTTTGGCCACAATTCAAAACGATACGTTTGGCGTAAAAGCAACACAGATCATCACCCTGAACACACCATACCCACTGTCAAACATGGTGGTGGCAGCATCATGGTTTTGGCCTGCTTTTCTTCAGCAGGGACAGGGAAGATGGCTTAAATTGATGGGAAGATGGATGGAGCCAAATACAGGACCATTCTGGAAGAAAACTTGTTAGAGTCTGCAAAAGACCTGAGACTGGGACGGAGATTTATCTTCCAACAGGACAATGATCCAAAACATAAAGCCAAATCTACAATGGAATGGTTCACAAATAGACGTATCCAGGTGTTAGAATGGCCAAGTCAAAGTCTAGACCTGAATCCAATCGAGAATCTGAGGAAAGAGCTGAAGACTGCTGTTCACAAATGCTCTCCATCCAACCTCACTGAGCTCGAGCTGTTCTGCAAGGAAGAATGGGAAAGAATTCCAGTCTCTCGATGTGCAAAACTGATAGAGACATACCCCAAGCGACTTGCAGCTGTAATTGTAGCAAAAGGTGGCGCTACAAAGTATTAGCGCAAGGGGGCCGAATAATATTGCACGCCCCACTTTTCAGTTTTTTATTTGTTAAAAAAGTTTAAAGTCCATCCATCCATCCATCCATTTTCTACCCTTTAATCCATTTCTGGGTCAGGGGGGTGGCAATCAGAGATGCCACCCAAGTCTCATAGCACCAGCCCCTCACTGACCCTCTGCAGGTGGTGAGTCCACAGGAGGACGGCTGCTCTCTGAGTGTGAGCATAGCCTTGATCTTTCAGTGGGGGCTTTGGGCAAAGTGGGGTTAAGTGTCTTGCCCAAGGACACAACGACAGCAGTCATCAGTGGGAGTCGATGGAGAAGGTGCAGAGGTGGGAAATGAACCCACGACCTTCTGGCCTTAAGGCCAATGCTCTACCAACTGAGCTACTGTCGCCCCTTTAAGTTTAAAGTACCCAATACATTTTGTTCCACTTCATGATTGTGTCCCACTTGTTGTTGATTCTTGACAAAAAAAAATATTTTTATATCTTTATGTTTGAAGCCTGAAATGTGGCAAAATGTTGAAAGGTTCAAGGGGGTCGAATACTTTCGCAAGGCACTGTATTGCATGCACAGGTTACTCAAAGACACGCACACAACAAACAGAGAATAGTTCTGTGGCATGTATGGTCTTGGATATGATCACGTTACAGCAGCGGCGTTCGCCGTGTTGTTGTCAAAGCGGCTCACCGAGGCTGGAGGTGGGCCACGGAGGATGCGGACTCCCGTTCTAGTTCATACAGTTAATAACAAAAAGTGCCCTGCGGTAACGCGCGTTATCTTTTTTTTAACTTGAATTTCCAGAGGGCCTACCTGCTCTGTCTCCATCTTACACACGGATGTGTCCGCGGCATTCTGAGAGTTATAATGGGATGCATTGGTGAGTCATCTGGCACATGCGTAAAACATTTTTACGCGATTAATGAAAACATTTTATTAATGTGCAATAACACAAAAATATCAACAGCCCTAGTCAGGATACACTACATGGTGCAGCATGTGTGTGCTGATAGAGCTGAAGTTGGCTGGATGACTTTGGATTAGCAAGGCCAGAGGGCCACATAAAAAGATCTTTAGTCTGGACTTACCGAGTTCAGAAAGCTCATTAGAGTCAGAGAATCTCCCTAAAAAACAAAACACACAAAAATACATTATTTTCCCAGTAGAGACATGTGTCAAAAGAGACTAGAACGATCAGAAAGACCAGAGAAACGCCAGAGATAGAGAGAGGCCAGAGGTTGCAGTGGCTGCCATAGTACAGCGCTCAGGACTCATCTCCAGATGTTGATGCTCTTCAGGGCCAAAGCTGGAGAATTTTGTACATGGCTTTATTGGTAGGAGAAACCAGAGGACCTGGATGAAACCTACACAGACACGGGAGAACATGCCAACTCCACTCGGAAAGGCCCAGTTCCGACCTGGATTAAAACCCAGGACATTATTGTTGAGTGCTAACCACTCAGGCATGGCAGCTGTATCTAGAGTAGTTGTTTATCACCACCCTGTTTGGATTGAATGAATAATGGCATGTAAAGCGTCTTGAGTGCCAATAAAAGTGCTATAGAAAAAACCATACAATACTATGTTTTACTATTTATAATTATTTATAATACATTTTCTTCAGCACAGGGGTTATTTACTCCTCCCTTACCTGCTATAAGGTATGACAGCGTCCGCACGGCGCTCTCCAGCTGTGCAGTAGCAGCGGGATGGCTACGGACATACGCGATATATCGTTTATAAAGACGCGTCACTTTGTCTAAATACTCTTCGCCATCAACATTCGCCATTACGTCCGACATATGTTACGCACTTCAAACACGTATTCGTTTCGCCGCACGAGTTTGTTTACTGAACTTCTTCTCATGTCAACTTCCGGGTAAGTCTTCCACAACGCTCCCAGACAAAACCATAGCCAGAGCGAAGGTTCCGGTTCCTATCCGTCAGCATAAAGCACCGGTTTCGTCTTCCGGGCACATTAGTGTTGCATCAGCGTCAGCCAAGCATCCACAGTCTACGATGTCTGCTCAAGTAGAACCAGGTGCAGTAAACAATCTGTTCTTTATATTTTATTCCCTGCGTGGATATGTATAAAATAAGAGTTGAATGCGTGATGTGTTTACGAGAGCTGTCAATGTTACTGAGCTAGTGCTAAAAGGCTATTTAGAGCTCCACTTGTTGTAATCATAGCAATTTAACGCATAAACAAAACAAATAATCATCTGTCAGACACAAATGACTTATAAGCATGGCTGGATTTACATTTAACATCGCTTTCGCCATCACTTTTCGTGAAAAGTGCGAATTTGTGTTGATTTTAAACACATTACTGGAATGAATGAAAGTCGTGCTTAGGTGACCTACTGTATTCCTCTTATTACAACTTAGGTTGCATACCGTATTGTTTACATTGAGCAAATCAAAGGGTAAACGTGTGTTGTTTTGATATGTAATATTCTGAATTATCAAAGTTAAGTTGTGTTTGTCAATAATGAAATCTCTGATTTGCTGTACAGACAGAGATAATTAAAATACTGTTATTACACCAGTTTGGGTACAAAGGAGCTTGCTTCACGCACTACATTTTGGAATAGAAAGTTGTATGTAAAAGAACATTTCTCATTGGACAGTTGCTGTACATCATCCTAAAATACTAAGGAATGGTAAACATAACTGTATTGCTCCACTTACATGTTCTCTGGCTGAAAGAGACCAGAGAGAGAGAGACCAGAGAGAGAGACCAGAGAGAGAGAGAGACCAGAGAGAGAGAGAGACCAGAGAGAGAGAGAGACCAGAGAGAGAGAGAGACCAGAGAGAGAGAGACCAGAGAGAGAGAGACCAGAGAGAGAGAGACCAGAGAGAGAGAGACCAGAGAGAGAGAGACCAGAGAGAGAGAGACCAGAGAGAGAGAGACCAGAGAGAGAGACCAGAGACCGACTCAAGTAGACACCAGTAGGAAATGAAAATCTTATAATACAATAATAATACTGAAGAGTGATAATCAAATCCCTGATTTTCCATGCAGAGCAGAGTTTGGGAACGATGGAGCTTGCATCTTGGATTTTGGAATAGAAAGTTGTATGCAAAATATTTCTTATTGGACAGTTGCTGCACATCAACCCTTGTTTCCCAGTGTTTCATATTTACTATATATCTCAAAAATCCCACATATTTATTTCTTAAAATTAATTAGTTCATAAACTTGTTACTCACAGGCTTTTGGTTTTGGTTTTGATCTGACTGGGAACACACATTACTTTCATTATAATTGTGTAATCCGCTCAGACCCCTGTGTTCCTTGGTTTCATTGCGATGATATGACTTTTATTTCCGTTTCAGTTTGAGTCAGTGACTTTCAGAAACATTGCATCAGTGAGAGAGACCAGAGAGGGGGGGGAGACCAGACCAGAGAGGGGGAGAGACCAGTAGGAAACTATATCATAATACAATAATGACTGCAATAGTGGTGGATAAATGTGTGTTGTTTTGAGATGTAATAGTTAAGTTGTGTTTGTCAATAATGAAATCCCTGATTTCAAAACACTGTTATTACACCAGTTTGGGAACAATGGAGCTTGCATCAGCCAGAGCATTTTTGACAGCACTGTGCTTCACTCTCTACATTTTGGAAGAGAAAGTTGTATGTAAAAGAGCATTTATTTAGACACATATTTCGTACTTAATTAGTTCATAAACTTGTTGCTCACATAGGCTTTTGGTTTTGGTTTTGATCTGACTGGGCTGTGGGCACACATTCTTGGGCCTGAAGAACTGTGTCTGCCTTACATCTCTGCAGATAGTTTCATTGGGCCTCATGTATGAAAGTTGCGTAGAAAAGGGTGTATATTTTGGGTGTATATTCCATTTACGCAAGATCCGACGTGGTATTTATGAACGTGTGAGATACGCACAGATCTGAGCGTACGCACCTGCGGCTGTTGATAAATGCCGCGCTTGAAACTAGCGTATTTATGAAAGTCACGCCTAGAAATATTCAGAAACTGCCTGTTCCACGCCCTGTTTTTGCGACAGGTCAGCAGGAAGTCGGCTAGGAAGACTGTTTGGAAGCCTCAAAAAGCACACACTTCTGAGATTATTCACGTTTAAAAAAAAAATATATATATATATATACGCTGTATTATATATACGCGTTTTTCCCTAGTGTCTAGACCCACTGCGGCACTCATCTCTCCTGAAATTTAGAAGTAAATAAATAAATAATAAATGAATGAACCAGTTCCCACATGCGCGTTGCATCCTATCTCTGCTATGCGGAGAACAAGGCAGTAGATGAGCAGTTTTGAGCAAGATCAATTGCGTTTATGGGGCTTTATGCACAAAACTAAGGAAAACCCACATTGCTTTGCCAGAGGTGAATGAGGCAAAACATATGCGTAATTCCGTATACGGCGCAGGGTCTGGTTAGTGAGTAAACGGCTAAGGAAAAATAACTTCACGGAGCAGGAGATTGAGACCAATATGAACGAAGTGGGAAAAAGAATAAAGTCTTACTATTTGGAATTCTCAAAAGTGGCACGAAGGGGCTCAAGAAACAATATGTGGAAAGAAATGACAGCATCTGTAAACAGCGTGGGGCCTGCAACACTCCTGAAGAGGTGAGTTTATTCATGTTCGAAGAATAATACGCAATATTATATCAAATAGTTGCTATATTGGGCCAATAGTAAGAATTCATTCATTTATGCTACAAGTGAAAAAAAAGGGAGCAACCTTAAAATGGTAACAAAAAGGCGTTTAGCGCAGCCCATAGAAGAAGTGCTCAGCAGCCCAGGGGGAGGACCGCCAGACCAAAGCATCCAAAAGAAAATATAAAGAAATACAATTATCTTCAAATTATGTATGTGATTATTATTTTAAAATGGTTGAATGAAGCCTGTCTGAGCTGTACTGGCCGAAGGCGATGCTGGCCATGGTCTCTCATCCATGGGCTGCTCCACCAGTGGCACACTGTGGTCCTGTGCCTGTTGTGGAAAACCGAGCCAGGACCATGTGGCACACTTGTACCGGGAGGTACCAGAGCGTACCCCCTACATGTCCCAGAGCCTGATCAGACCCGCGCAGCGCTCCACGGTGGCGCGCATCTTTGCTTGGACCCGCATGAACCAAAGCCATTACGCACTGATTTGTAGGTGCATATAACAATCCACACATTTGTGGGAGACTAAGTTTGACATCTTGCACGTTATTTTATAACACAAACTAGTAAGTAAGCAGTAAGTAAGCTTTTATTTATATACCGCCTTTTCACTGCACATCGGAGTCTCAAAGCGGTTTTACAATTGTTATTTTTTTTGGGAGTGGGGGTGCCAGTACAGGAGGCACATGCCATACCTATTGTACATATTTTTTGTGGTAGGGGAAACCGGAGCACCCGGAGGAAACCTACGCAGACACGGGGAGAACATGCAAACTCCACTCAGAAAGACCCTGGTCCAACCGGGATTTGAACCCAGGACCTTCTTGCTGAGAGGCGAGAGTGCTATCCACTCAGCCACCGTGCCGCCCAACTAGCCCTTACATAACATCGTCAATTTTGTCCAAATCTTGCATTTCATGCGTTTTTTTGCGTGTTGTAATGAAGGTTGAAATGAGCGTACACATTTACACCACCTGTTGACTTGGTGTAAATTCTGTGCGTATCGTACGCTCACGTCCAGATTGATAAATGCGGAAAAGTGTAAATATTTTTTGTACGCATAATTTACACCCTGATTTGGCCGTACGCACGTTTCATACATGAGGCCCATTATGGTTGTGTACTCCGTTCAGACCCCTGTGTTACTTGGTTTTGTTGTGACTGATATATCTGTGATATAAATTTTATTTCAGTTTCAGTTTGAGTCAGTGACTTTCAGAAACATTGCATCAGTAAAACCTTTAATATTTCTCTGCAGCTCAACAGAAAAGAGACCAGAGAGGGAGAGACCAGAGAGGGAGAGACCAGAGAGGGAGAGACCAGAGAGGGAGAGACCAGAGAGGGAGAGACCAGAGAGGGAGAGACCAGAGAGGGAGAGACCAGAGAGGGAGAGACCAGAGAGGGAGAGACCAGAGAGGGAGAGAGACTGATTCATGTCTGAAACACAAAGTTCATAAATAAGTAGTCTTGAAGTTTGAACCTTTTAGCTGCTGTTGTTGATTAATCATAGGGGAAACTATTGATAATTAACTATAATTAGTCAAGTATCAATGTTTATTTGCACTAAACAAACATGATTTAGAAATAAATATATCGTTTTTGGAATAAGTCTTGTGGTAGAAGCTCCTCATACTCTGGTTTAGCTTTCAGAAACATAGCATCAGTTTTCAGAAACATAGCATCAGTAAAACCTGTAATGTTTCTATGCAGGTCAACAGAAAAGGAAAAGAGAGGGAGAGACACCAGAGAGGGAGAGACACCAGAAGGAAATGAATAACTATATTATAATACAATAATGACTGCCATAGTGGTGGGTAAACGTGTGTTGTTTTGCGATGTAATATTCTAAATGATCAAAGTTAAGTTGTGTTTGTCAATAATGAAATCCCTGATTTCAAAACACTGTTATTACACCAGTTTGGGAACAATGGAGCTTGCATCAGCCAGAGCATTTTGACGGCACTGTGCTTCACTCACTACATTTTGGAAGAGAAAGTTGTATGTAAAGGAGCATTTGTCATTGGACAGTTGCTGCACATCAACCCTTGTGTCCCAGTGTTTCATATTTACTATATATATCTAAAAAAAATACCACATATTTTGTACTTAATTGGTTCATAAACTTGTTGCTCACATATGCTTTTGGTTTTGGTTTTGATCTGACTGGGCTGTGGGCACACATTCTTGGGCCGGAAGAACTGTGTTTGCCTTACACCTCTGCAGATAGTTTCATTATGATTGTGTACTCCGCTCAGACCCCTGTGTTACTTGGTTTTGTTGTGACTGATATATCTGTGATATAACTTTTATTTCAGTTTCAGTTTGAGTCAGTGACTTTCAGAAACGTTGCATCAGGAAAAAACTTTAATTTTTCTCTGCAGCTTAACAGAAAAGAGACCAGAGAGGGAGAGACCAGAGAGGGAGAGACCAGAGAGGGAGAGACCAGAGAGGGAGAGACCAGAGAGGGAGAGACCAGAGAGGGAGAGACCAGAGAGGGAGAGACCAGAGAGGGAGAGACCAGAGAGGGAGAGACCAGAGAGGGAGAGACCAGAGAGGGAGAGACCAGAGAAACATGCAGTGCCTTGTGAAATTATTCGGCCCCCTTGCACCTTTGTGGCGAAATGTTGAAAGGTTCAAGGGGGCCGAATACTTTCACAAGGCACTGTAAGTCCCTTGGCTGCCACCATAAGGGAGAGGGGTTTTTTCCTACTGAAATTCCCATCTGAAAATAGACACGTCACGTGACTACTGGTATCTGACTAAATTAATTTATGTGCAAAACCTTTACACATTTTTTACTTTTGCCTTACTCTCTCTCTCTGGTCTCCTTTTTGGACCATTTGTTATATGTATGATTTAAGCTGCCCGGAAGTCCTGCTCAAACCAACAGAGCACAAAGGTTTTGCAGAATGGTTCCATGTTTCTGAAAGTGACTGACTCAAATCAAAGTGAAACCACAGATCGACTAATCACAACAAAACCCAGGAACACACGGGGTTGCCTTAGTTACCAACTTAGCTACCCTTACCCTGTTACGATGCCAACCTATTGTCATCGGAACAAATAACCATATACGGTAATTGGCTCCAGACATCTTTGGGGCAGGTCGCTCCATCCTATATGTGAAATGCTGTGACCTAGTTCTGCTCATATGTCTTTTATATTTCTCTGCTGTGGTTAGTTTGAGTCTTCAGTTCATGTAAACGGAGTGTATCTGTCTCTGGTCTCTCTGGGCGTCACAGTGGCTCAGTGGAGAGAACTCTCGCTTCTGAGCAAGAAAGTCCTGGGTTTGAATCTCGGTCGGGACAGGGAGTCTAAGTGGAGTTTGCATGTTCTCCCCGTGTCTGCGTAGGTTTTCTCCGGGTGCTCCGGTTTCCCTTACTGCTAAAAACATGTACAATAGGTCTGGCATACGCCTCCTGTACTGGCGACCTCGCTCTCTGTTGAGGGAAAGACAAATTCCCACAATTGTAAAGCGCTTTGTGACTGGTTTGTGAAAGGCGCTATATACTGTAAATAAAGATTATTTACTTACTTACTCTCTGGTTTGTCTCTTGGGTTTCTCTATCTCTCTCTGCTCCCGCTCTCTGGTCCCGCCCCCTGGTCTTGTCCCTACAGCATTTCCCCTCGACTCTCTGCTTTCAATCAGGGACATCACAGAGCTCGCCGAGTCTCTGGACAGATACCTGGAAACGCGCAGTTACCTCTGCGGGTTCAGCCCCTCCCTTGTGGACCGCCGCACCGCTAAACTCTTGACCTCCCCCCCTCCCTCGCGACTCAAGCACGTCCTCCGCTGGTACAGGCACATAATTGCACTGCCACCAGAAGGATACTCGGGGCAGGAAGCAGACGGCCGTGAGTAGTCCGAGCCTCTGGTCTCTCTCTCTCTCTCTGGTCACTCTCTCTAAGGTCTCTCTCTCTCTGTGGTCTCTGCCCTCTCTCTGGTCTATCTGGTCTTTCTCTCTCAATGGCCATTCTCTCTCTTTCACTGGACTTTCTCTCTCTTTGATCAATTTCATTCACTCTGTCCCAGGGCAGCTGTGAGTACTGCTGTTGCTGGAACAATAATGCATGAGTTTGTAAAGTAGAGGTGTGTGCTTTTAGAGATTAACCACCCTTAAAAGTGGAGATTTGTCTCATAGGACATGGTTGGGTTTGGGACCATGGGCAGGAACAAGGCTTGTGTTTGGTTTTCATAGCGGTTAGTTGATTTCCAAGGATTTTTTTCAGTTTCTGCATGACGTGTGTGTCTGTGTGTACCAGGTATGGTTTGTAAAAATAGTGGACACAGCCAGCAAGCTGTTGTGGGCCACTTAGTATTGGTATGGTGGCACTTTGTGGCCATACTGCTGTCATTATGGTCAAAAAGTCTCTGGTCCCTCTCTCTGGTCTTGTAATTCCATCACTCTGTCCCAGGGCAGCTGTGACTACTGCTGTCGCTGGAACCATAATGAATGGACCAAAGGCTGCTTTTTACAAACTCAAAACTTCTTGTCTTGATTGTTTCAGCCAAAGGGAAGCGCGTGCAGCCGCTGTGGTCGGCTCCTGAAGGCACCGCGGTCCCCCAGCTCAGACTCTACAACAGCCTCACCAGGACTAAGGTAAAATGTCAAGTTTATTTATATAGCACACATTTACACCAACCAGAGAGACCAGAGGGGCCGACCAGAGAGACCAGAATTGTTTATTTATTTATTTAGATTTCTTTTGAGAAATCAAAATAAACTCAAATCAGGGGATATTTTCAGAAATTCAGGTGTGTTTTTGTCTTCTCTTTCATTCTTTTTTTCCTTCAATAACTGCAATAATATTGCCGTATTTATTAACTGTGACCATAAAAACTGATTGTTTTGAATGTGTTTTTTGCAGGAGGTGTTTGTTCCACAGAAGGACAACAAGGTGACGTGGTACAGCTGTGGTCCCACGGTGTACGACGCCTCTCACATGGGACACGCCAGGTGCTGATCCCTCGTTCTCTCTCAGCCATGTTCAGATTTGCTCTAACTCCTCCTCCTCCAGGTCCTACATTTCTTTTGACATTCTGAGGAGGATCTTGAAGGACTACTTCAAATATGACCTGCTCTACTGCATGAACATCACAGACATCGATGACAAGGTAAAACTACTCCAGAGAGAGAGAGAGAGAGAGAAAACAAAGCTTTTTCTTAATTTCAGATCATCAAACGAGCACGGCAGAACTTCCTCCTGGAGCAGTACAGAGACAGACAGCCTTCAGCAGCACAGATCCTGCTGGATGTGAGGAGTGCTCACGGGGTCAGTGCATAATCTTCCTCAGTTTGACCCTCTGACCATGGAAACACTGAGGTCTGACCCCCTCGGACCTATGCAAACTTGCCCACAGATTACTGGTCTATCTAAAACAGGGTCTCAAACTAATACAAGTATCATAAACATTGACCCTAATGGAAGAGGGTAAGAATTAAAGGTACTTTGTTGATTCTCAAAAGAATTAAAAGTAATCATTATTAGGCCCAGTCCACAACACTGAGCCTCAGGCCTTTGATCCAGTTCTGTTTCAGTCAAAGCTGAACTCTCTTTGTTCCAAGATATATATTAGAATATACGTATATATTCTACCTTCATGATTAAAGCGCAAGCAGGAACCACAGAATGTTTTTGAGGAGTGGACTGACCGAGTGTGACATCACCATAGTGTTAATGCAGAAGAAGCAGATTTGAACACAAGTCAGCTGGAGCCAGTTCCCAGACAGGAAGAGAGGGACCATAGAGTGAGAGAGCTGTATCGCTTTAAACAGCTATTTTCTAGACTCTCTTAGACTCTTCACACCATTATTGATTTACTCCAAACACAGTGGTGATCAACTTTGTAGCCACAGCTGCCCAGGGGCACTCAAACACAAACCAAGGCAACCACCAACCGCACGCACACACACACACACACATGCAGCCGCCCCATAGGTCTCCTGTCACTGTACTCACCAGGCCCTCCCCTGCTTAACTTCAGAGGATCATCAGGATCTTGCTTTCTCCTGCAGGTGGAGCCAGAGAACTACTTTTAGAGCAGGGCTGACTGACGGAGTGTGACATTACCATTATGTTAGCATTAATGTGGAAGAGGCCTATTTGAACATAAACCTGCTGGAGCAAATCTCCTTCAATAGGCAGAGATTTATGCCATAACAGGGGAAGACGTGTTACTATGGCAAACTGGAGTTTCCCACGTGAATTAAGGCTTCTGATTGATCAATACTTAATAGATTCATATCTGGATTTAGGAAGACAATGTCACAATATAAACACTAGGATCACAGAGAGTGCTAAACCACAAATTTAGGCCAAAAATGGTTGGTGTGATACAAACAATTACAGAGTTAGAGGAGCAAACTTCACCGTAAGCACTTCCCTATTAGGTTTCATTGAGCTTGTGGATTAACAATTTCCATCTGGGTACAGGAAATGGTTAGGACAGACCAGCTCTTTGTAACCCGGTCATTGCTACCAAAATGTGCATACATTTAGCTCAAATAGCCTGTTGGGGTTAGCGCTAATCAGTTTTTCTCCGCATTGGGGCTAGCACTATGATGACCTCACACTTGGTCAGTCCTGTTTGTGTGTTCTCCATCCTGTCCCTGCAGCCGTTCCAGTCCGTTCTGGCCTCTACCACTGACCCAGACAAGAAGCAGATGTTGGAGAGACTGGATGTCGCTGTCACTGCTGCGCTCCTGCCACTAGAGGCAGCTGTGAGCAACAAGGCCCCAGACACAGAGCTGCTTCCACTTGCACAGGTACAGCACGCAGTCAGCTTAAGACAAACCCTGGCACGAGAGAGACCAGAGGGAGAGAGAGAGACCCCTGAGGGAGAGAGAGAGAGACCCCTGAGGGAGAGAGAGAGAGACCCCTGAGGGAGAGAGAGAGACCGACCCCTGAGGGAGAGAGAGAGAGAGACCCCTGAGGGAGAGAGAGAGAGAGACCCCTGAGGGAGAGAGAGAGAGACCCCTGAGGGAGAGAGAGAGAGACCCCTGAGGGAGAGAGAGAGAGACCCCTGAGGGAGAGAGAGAGACCGACCCCTGAGGGAGAGAGAGAGAGAGACCCCTGAGGGAGAGCGAGATCCCAGCGAGAGGAAGATCCCACAGACCAGAAAGGGAGAGGGACCAGAGATAGAGACTAGAGAGTATGAACTGTGCAAATAAACTTGTCTTGCCTAGCTGACTTGTTCTGATTAAAGCCTTTGGATAAAGAGTTGTGTGTTTCCCGCAGACATTGCTGGAGAGCTCAAAGGACCTGCTTTCTGATTGGTTGGACAAACAGTTTGGCAGCACGGTCACAGAAAACTCCATCTTCTCCACTTTACCCAAACACTGGGAGGGAGAGTACCACAGGGACATGGACGCTCTCAACGTAAGCTCTTCACTCTCTTCTGGGGATGGGATCATTTTAATCAATCAATCAATCAATAAAATTTTATTTATAAAGCGCTTTTCATACAAAAGATGCAACACAAAGTGCTTTACAGTTTGGTTAAAAACAATCCCGCTGGCCCAAGACCCTTCCCCCAGACCACCCAACAGACCCATCCCAAACCACAGACAAACACACACACACGCTCTCATGAACACTCATACACACACACACACACCAGTAAAACAATAAAACCATGATGAGAGACTTGGCAGGGTTCAGATGCAACCAGCTGAAGAAGCGTCATCCAAGGAGCCGTCCACAGGGGACGACACAGGACCCAGAGGAGTCACGAAACCGAGGCCCCAGGCCCCCACCAGGCCCAAGAGTCCGAACCCCGTATTTATGCTGTGAGGCCGCTTTTCTTAAGCAAGGACAGGGTTAGAATGTAGATATTAGATCTGGACTTTGACCGGACCGAAGAAATATGTGGTGACACCTTTTATGTCACAATGTGCCAGAGGGAGAGGCCAGAGGGAGAGGCCAGAGGGAGAGGCCAGAGGGAGAGGCCAGAGGGAGAGGCCAGAGGGAGAGGCCAGAGGGAGAGGCCAGAGGGAGAGGCCAGAGGGAGAGGCCAGAGGGAGAGGCCAGAGGGAGAGGCCAGAGGGAGAGGCCAGCCAGAGGGAGAGGCCAGCCAGAGGGAGAGGCCAGCCAGAGGGAGAGGCCAGCCAGAGGGAGAGGCCAGCCAGAGGGAGAGGCCAGCCAGAGGGAGAGGCCAGCCAGAGGGAGAGGCCAGCCAGAGGGAGAGGCCAGCCAGAGGGAGAGGCCAGCCAGAGGGAGAGGCCAGCCAGAGGGAGAGGCCAGCCAGAGGGAGGCCAGCCAGAGGGAGAGGCCAGCCAGAGGGAGAGGCCAGCCAGAGGGAGAGATTGCGTTAATGTCATTGTTAACTCGCAATTAATCGCATATTTTTCCCTGGTCTAGATGTCCAATCCCTTTTCAAACAAAATCAAGGGACAAAGTAAAAAGCTTATATTGATCCAATCTTCCCTAAAAAGAAAATATTTGGATTGTCATATATAGGATACTCAATCTCTGCTTTTGTTATTGCTTTTTACAGTGTCTAGAACAGGGGTGTAAATTATGCGCCCTTGGGGCCGGAATCGTTCCGCCAAGAGAATTTATGCGGCTCGCGGCTTATTTATGTCAAATAATAATTTAAAAATGTAAATTCACTCCGAGCAACGCATCATGGGAGCTCCTCCGCTGCGCAGAACCACGAGGACCAGACAATGCCCAAATATGGGCGAGTTCCGCTATTCTCTCGGTCAATGTGTATGTCTCATGCGCTACTGAGCACAAGCCATTCATTTGAATAGGGCGCCATCTTGGATCACCGGGGCTTGGAAGCAGCTGATAACTGCTTTCTTTTCAGATAGTGATGTTCAAATGAGCCCCGTGAAGCATGTCACTTTCAGCCAACTGTGCCGGTACATGTACCGATGCTTCATGATGATTAATTTAACTCTATGACACCATCTAGAGGGCAAAGAATAGAATTATTCAATTTCTATTACAGCACTATATCACCAACACAGTTGTACTTACTCGCATAACATGTGAGTACAACTGCATGAAACACTCATATATAAAAGGAGGATTAAAACATAGGTAACACACAGGTAATATTGATTTGAGCATTAAAGAACATATTTGTTGGGTGAAAAGCCCTAACATTGCAGCGCAGCGACGTGCTTAGGTGAGTAGGGTTGCAAAATTCTGGAAAATGCAAAAAACTTGTAAAATGTCCATGGGAGTTAACAAAAATAAAATCAAATGAATGGGAATTTGAAAAACTGAAATGTGATTCACTTGAATATAGTTGAGGATGATGTGGCTCAGCTGAACGCATCGAAAACATGTGAACTGGTCTTTGACTTCAGTCGTAACAGTTCTCACACTCCTGTAGTTATCGACAACTCCCAGGTGCAGATCGTAGAGGAGTATACGTTTCTGGGTTTAACTCTGTCTAACGACCTGAAATGGGTTAAAAACACTGACCGAGTTGTTAAGAAAGCTCGTCAGCGTCTCTACTTTCTGCGTAAACTTAGAGAATTTACCACTAACTCTAAGATTCTGCTTAACTTTTATCGCTGCACCATTGAGAGTTAGCTTGTTGGTTCTGTGTCTGTGTGGTTTGGAAACATCACAGATAAAGAAAAGAGAGCTTTAAACAAGGTGCTCCGCTCTGCAAAGAGGACCGTGGGCTGTGAGCTTCCTGTTCTGGAGGTTCTTTATAAATCCAGACTTCTTAATAGAGCTTTAAGAATTATCAATGACTCTTCTAGCCACCCTGGAAAAGCCTTGTTCCAGCTTCTTCCCTCTGGCAGAAGATATTGCTCTCTGAGATGCAGGACATCTCGTTACGCTAACAGTTTTTATCCACAAGCTGTTATCAGTGTGAACAGAGCACTTTAATGATTTGCACTTGTTTTGAAACTGTTTTAGTCGATCGATTTCACAGTGACATTTGTTTACTGTTTTATTTGTTTTATTTCCGTACTTTTAATGTTGTTTTATGTCTGTATTTGTCTGTGCACACTGGTGACTTTTGATAATGTATTCCAATGTGGTTTTTTTTTACTGCAAATGGCAAATAAACAGAATCTGAATCTGAAATCTGAGGGAAACATATTGTAACATAGTTTTGCCTAAAACAAGCAGATTTATTGCATCACCATTCGGGGCGGGTCCCGGCTCAAAAGTGGCCAAAATGACGTGCGCTGACATGCTTGCAATACCACCCCGGGCCAATGGGGGTGGATCCAGAAGAAGAATTAGCCAATGCTAACATATAGCATTGGCAGACCTCTCGAAAACGTCTTTACAGGATGGTCCAAAAGTCGGCTCTTGGCCCAAAGCTCCGTTCCACATGTGTGAATTTTTTTGGACCACTATAGTTTACTTGCTGTGAATTTTTGAAGTCACTCGTTCAAATGAATGGAGCTTGCGCCGGCTGATGCATGCGCAGATGCGTTTTTTCATAATTTTCTTGTGGGTAGGACCACTCGTGGCCATTTTGGATAGTTCCAGTAGAGCACTATTTTTGGCCCATTAGTCAAAACGGCGGAGATAGGCGTGACTCTGTCCGTTAATATATACAGTCTATGTGCATCACACTTTAATATCTCTGCTATTAAATCGCCTCAGTAGCCCTCAGTGTGAATGTGACTGCAGGCTCATTTGACTTATTTATTTTTGATAGTTAACATTTGTTATTATGGCAGGGCTTAGCTTATTTGATTTGTTTCTGAGGGTACAGTTGTCTCCTGTTCAAAAATAAATGTTTTTCAAATCAAAACTTCATCTATCATGGGTCAACATTTTAGTACACAAACCTGAAGGTTTAAAAGTATTTGACACCAAGTAGGCCACATGCAACAAGTGTTATAATCTGAATCTGATATTCAAAAAATATTTGTTTTCATAAGAAATTTAATTTTCATTTGGCTAACCATCATCGTACACCCGCATGTGTAGGGGGTCCACTGACATTGAGAGTGTAAAAGGCCCAGAATTTGGTGCTTCGTTCCTGGTGATGAATACTGATGGACGTAATCAGCAGCAAGCGCGACTGCTTTTGTGTTGTCACAATGGGTTTGTGTTAACGCTTATGGATCTTTTATGACATTTTTGATACAACTATGGTTAAAGCTGAACTTATCATTACAGCAGAAGTGCAGAAGTCAGTGATTTTCCAGTTTGTTTCGATTTTCTGAAGGTCAAACCTAACGTCGCAGAGGCTAAGAGGAAGAACTTCATTAATCTGGTTTAAAATCAGACTAATCTGACACAATCCCAAACCTCTGCATCTTTTGTCATTTTGTTAAGTCGTTATTAACGTATTTAACTGAAAGCTCTAATATATAGACAACATTATTGTCTCTGTTTGCTTCCCAGGTCCTCCCCCCAGATGTGCTGACTCGGGTCAGTGAGTATGTCCCAGAGATTGTGGAGTTTGTCCAGAAAATCGTCAAAAATGGCTATGGGTGAGGTGTTCATTCAGTTACTGCAGAGAGGGATAGACACTTCTGTCTTCTCTGTCAAAAGGTGGTAGTCAGACAGCTCATAGAATATCTGGAGACTGAAGACCTGTTGAAACCAATGTAATTTAGGTTCAGGGCTAGCCACTCTACAGAGCCTGCTGCCTTTTCCTTGAAATCATAAAATCCAAGTTGGACAAAGGAGGGGTAGTAGGCGCAACATGTTTAGATCTTCTTTAGATATTCTGCCTACTAAAATAAGAAAATCAGTGAGTATTCTCACCTGGTAAAAAGTCCTACCTATATGACCACTCCCAATGTGTGCGCGTTCATGACACAATCACCTCTTCAACCACTGCCATTAACACCGGCTGCTGCCTCAAAGTTCCAACTTGGGAAAGAGACCAGAGAGGCCAGTGAGGGAGAGAGGCCAGTGAGGGAGAGAGGCCAGTGAGGGAGAGAGGCCAGTGAGGGAGAGAGGCCAGTGAGAGAGAGAGGCCAGTGAGGGAGAGAGGCCAGTGAGGGAGAGAGGCCAGTGAGGGAGAGAGGCCAGAGAGGGACAGAGACTGGATTATTATTATGATTACTATTATTAATTAGAGCTTGTATTTTCAGATATGAATCAAATGGCTCGGTGTATTTTGATACGGCAAAGTTTGATGGCAGTCCTCTTCACTCCTACGCCAAACTGGTGCCAGAGGCAGTGGGCGACCTGAAGACCCTACAGGAGGGAGAGGGTGACGTTTATTACATTTACGCCTTTAACCAAGGTTTTAAAACAGACATTATGTGACAGGTGTTATTATACAATGTACATCTGGAATTGAGTGATTGGTATATGAAGCCCCGTGACACACTGATGCTTTCCTTTCCAGAGTGCTTCAAAGCTTCTGAGATAGCTCAGACTAGCTTGTAAAACTCACATCTAGTGGACAAGTGTAATCATTGCAGCTTCTGAAAGCAGTAGTTAATTGATGGTTTAAAATTCATGCCGTTTCATCTTCTTACATAACTGACAAGAAAGCTATCCCACTGCAGCAAAACATAGGCATTTTACTGTTGTTAATCTATTATTTAAAGGAATTCTGTGTTTAAAGGGTGTTTAAATCTAAAAACAAAGGGAATGCACTCGATGCGTAGATTAGAGGTTTTTATTCGAAAACATTATTTCAACAGTTGTCAGCTTCAGTCGGCTTCTTGTTTGGTTCAGCAGCTTTAAAAAAGAAAAATCTTGTTATGAGACACTGCCTTGTAAAGTTGGAATAAGATCAAAATGATCCCAAACCATGGATCTCCGTTTTCCCCTTGCAGATGCCATCAAAGTCACCAAAATCACCAACTCTATAAAACACTCTGTCTCCTCTCTACCCAACATTAAGAAATATTGGCATCTTATTTCTTAACATGAAATATGATGCACTGAAAGCTGTCAAACCAAAGTTGAAACGCTCTGAATCAATGCAAAGCCGGGAGACTAATTGAGCCAATGAAACACAAACTGACACACAGTCACAGCCGCAAAGCTGTGGCGGCAGTGTCCAAGGCAGTGTTGTCAGTGTTTGTGTGAAGCCGTTTATGCATGTTTTCCATTTTCATAATAATGAGGTGATAATCTCCTCCTCCTGACCAGTTTGTGCATTTCTTTTTAACTTTTAGCTTTTTTCTCTCTGGTCTCTATCTCTATAGTATGACCAAAACAGTACCTTCATGACTGTGTATAAACTTTCATAATATCTAAACACATTCATTTGTGTCTCTTTACTGTAGGAGACCTGAGCATCTCCGCAGACAGATTGAGTGAGAAGAAGTCTCAGAATGACTTTGCCCTGTGGAAGGCCTCCAAACCCGGGGAGCCGTCCTGGGACTCGCCCTGGGGAAAGGTCTGGACGTGTGCTTTCATGAAGTAGTTAATTTAACCGTATCACGCTAAGGCATAGATCCGCCGACCAGACGAGATCCAACCACCTACTGCTCTGTCGACTCTCGTTGGCTAAGAACTTGTTGCTAGATACACAGCTCCATCAGCCAACTCCAATCCTCCCTACTCTACTCTACTCTACCTGGTTGTGTTTCCATGCACTACTACTTCTACATTTACTATCTAGTACCATATCCTAGCAACCTTCTCACAACAAACCAGTATCTGGGGATATTTCTTGGCAACCATGGCTTCCAGCAGCACGCTGGCCAATCTCACCTGGATAGAACCGGGGCCAAGAGAGACTAAAGAAGGACCTGGTACCAGTTAAACAGGGCCAGTGGAAACACTCCCAAGTAGAGTAGAGAAGAGGCTTCAGACGCTGATGGTTTACCTCTGTGTCACAGGGCCGTCCGGGCTGGCACATTGAGTGCTCTGCGATGGCTGGGACCATCCTGGGGGAATCCATGGACATCCACGGAGGAGGCTTTGACTTGCGCTTCCCTCACCACGACAACGAGCTGGCACAGTCCGAAGTACTACTGCGGCATGACTGTTACACTCTGTTACACTCTGTACAACACTCTTTGTAATCACTCTTTCTACTGCAGGCGTACTTTGAGAACGACCACTGGGTGCGATACTTCCTGCATACAGGGCATTTGACCATCGCCGGCTGCAAGATGTCCAAATCTCTGAAGAACTTCATCACCATCAAAGATGCTCTTGCTAAGAACACAGGTGTGTGTGGGTTTGTGGGTGTGTGTTGTCAGCAGTTAATTCCTATTGTTATAGTACATCGACAACAATGAGGCCGGTGGTTTATAGTGGTACTCTGATTTTTGAAGTTTCAAAAGTCCTGTTTCCACCAGCCCTCTTCTCTCTCTCTCTCCCTCAGCTCGTCAGCTACGGCTCGCCTTCCTGATGCACGCATGGAAGGACACTCTGGACTATTCCCCCAACACCATGGAGTCAGCCGTGCAGTACGAGAGGTTCATGAACGTGGGTGCTCTCATTGTGTGTGTGTGTGTGTGTGTGTGTGTGTCGCTCTCTTTCTGTCGCTCGTTCTCACTCTTGCTCTCACTGCTAACTAAACCTCACTCTGATCATGTTTTCCAGGAGTTTTTCTTGAACGTAAAAGACGTCCTTCGAGCGCCCACTGACATTACCGGTCGCTTTGAGAAGTGGGAGGAGCCAGAAGTCGAGCTCAACAACAGGTTAAGACCCCGTGATGTCACAAGGTTTCAGAACATTAAACCTGATTTCCAAATAATCTCTCTCTGGTTCCTCTTGCAAGCTTCTACATGCGTAAGCGGCTGATACATGAGGCCCTGTGTGATAACATGGACACACGTTCGGCTCTGGATGAGATGAGAGTCCTGGTGGGACTCGCCAACAGCTACATGGCCAACCGCAAGAGCTGCAAGCTGAGGCCCAACCGACTGCTACTGGAGAGCCTGGCCACCTACCTCACATCCATGCTCAAGGTGAACCCCTGAGGGACTACTGGAGAACAGAACCAGGCTTTTATGGGCATTTGTTGCTAAGACTGTTGCTATGGAATCTTACTGGTCAATCCTTATAGGTGGATAGATTCTTTATTGATCCCCCATTGGAGAAATTCAGGTGTCCAGCAGCAGAAAACATACATAAACACAAAGTAAATCAATTATAAACATTTCTAACTATCTAACAATAGTGCGTATTTTTAACTCGTACAGGTCTGTTGTACAGTCTGACAGATCTCTTAAAATAGCAGCGCAGTGATATAAGCCTGTTGCTACAATTACTCCTCTAAGCGGCCATAGTGTCATGCAGAGGGTGTCTGGAGTTACCCAGAACGCCCTGCATTAGAGCCCTCATCCTTCTCTCCAGCACAGCTCCAACAGAGTCCACAGTTGAGGTCAGACTGCCGCCCCAACATGCGACCCCAAAGAACACGGCACTAGCTACAACAGACTGGAAAAATATGTGCAACATTTGACTGCTCACATCAAAGGACCTCAGTCTTCTCAGGAAGAAGAGTCTGCTCTGACCTTTCTTAAAGACAGCATTGGCCTGTGCTGACCAGTCCAGACTTTGGTCCAGGTGGACTCCTAGGTATTTGTATGACTGCTATTTCGATGTCCTGTCCATTTAGTGTGACTGGTTGATGAGAAGTGCTCCTGTGAAAGTCAATGATTATCTCATTGGTCTTGGACGCATTGAGAATCAGACCATTTCTCTTGAGAAGGCAGCCACCACCTCCCTGTACTCTGCTTCATCCCAAACCTCCTTCACACATGACACAACAGCGGTATCATCAGAGTATTTTTGTACATGGCATGTAGCAGAGTTTTGTGCAAAGTCTGCAGTGTAGATTGTGAAGAGGAAGGGAGCCAGAACGATACCCTGTGGTGCTCCTGTATTGCTCACAACAGTCCCAGAGACGCTCTTCCCTAACCTAACATACTGTGACCTCACATTGAGGTAATTTTAAATCCAGTTGGTAAGGGGATCAACTCCAATCTTTTCCAGTTTCTCCCTCAGTAAGTGAGGTTGGATGGTGTTAAATGCACTTGAAAAGGTGAAGAACATCAGCAGCACATAGCCTCCAGGGCAATCCAGGAAGAACACGGACTGATGGAGCATGTAGAGGACCGCGTCGTCCACTCCCATGTTCTCCTGATAGGCAAACTGTAGGGGTCAAGAGCCTGCTCGACCTGTTGCATGAGCAGTCGGAGTACTAGCCTCTCAAAAGTCTTCATTATGACAGATGTTAGTGCCACTGGTCTGTAGTCCTTGCATCCTGTCGGCCTCGCTACCTTATACAAATTCTCATACATATATACAAAAGTGAAATTTGATATTTCAATAAATAGTATAAATTCTTATACTTTGAAAAACAGACATTCAAAACGTGTGTGACCACTGAAATGTGTGTGCAGGTATTTGGAGCCATCGAAGGATCAGAGCCCATCGGTTTCCCAGTGGGAGGACAGGCTCCGAAAGGGGATGTAAGTCGTGAACTTTATATTATAATAATGCACTGTGATAGATGATGCACATGAAGAAATACGTGCCTGAACCTGCCGTTTACTGGAGAATCGTTTCTCCCTCTCCTCAGCTGGAGAGCACAGTGATGCCGTATCTCGGAGTCTTGTCAGATTTCCGAGAGGAAGTTCGGAAAATTGCCAGAGAAAAAAAAGGTCAGTACAGATTTGATAGAATCTCTCTGGTTCCTCTCTTTGGTTTCTCTCTTTGGTCTTACTCTTTGGTCTCTCTCTTTGGTCTCTCTCTTTGGTCTCTCTCTTTGGTCTCTCTTTGGTCTCTCTTTGGTCTCTCTCTGGTCTCTCTCTGGTCTCTCTCTTTGGTCTCTCTGTCTCTGTCTCTATCTCTCCATGACATAGGTCAAAGTAAACACACTTACAGTGCCTTGCGAAAGTATTCGGCCCCCTTGAACCTTTCAACATTTCGCCAAATTTCAGGCTTCAAACATAAAGATATAAAATTTTAATTTTTTGTCATGAATCAACAACAAGTGGGACACAATCGTGAAGTGGAACAAAATGTATTGGATAATTTAAACTTTTTTAACAAATAAAAAACTGAAAAGTGGGGCGTGCATTATTATTCGGCCCCTTTACTTTCAGTGCAGCAAACTCACTCCAGAAGTTCAGTGAGGATCTTTGAATGATCCAATGTTGTCCTAAATGACTGATGATGATAAATAGAATGCACCTGTGTGTAATCAAGTCTCCGTTTAAATGCACCTGCTGTTAGATAGTCTCAGGCAGGGGCGTAGCTAGCCCCTTTTTAGGGGGGCTCAAGCACCCCAAAAATTATAGAACAAAAAAATATATAAAAATGAAAACAAAAAAAATTTTACGGATTTTTTAAACGCATCCAGGTTATTTATAAATACTGTTATTGTTTCGTAAAATTTGTTGTTACCATCTATTTAAAAATGTCTGGAGTCATTCCATTTCATGCATAAAACGCACCGCAAAGAAGAAGAAAAAGACGCTGGCGCGCACCTGCTCAGGTCCCGCTGCGTCTGCTTCTCTGACCTCATCTCTCTGTCTGTCTGTGCGCTGAGACTGAGCTACAGTGGTGTTTGCCAGTGGCTTTCACGTTTACCTGGTTGGTAATTCATTTTCTATCCCATCTTTTCCCTTAAACTTTATGAGAACAGTTCTGCTGCTGACGCTGTATTAAACACTGGTGCTCCGTGCGCGCGGTTCCGTGAGTGTCTGTGGCAGATCTAACATGGACAAGTCCGCCGTAAAGTTCTCTTGAATTGAGTCATTTGGCGTCACATTTGCTTATCTCCTGCTTGTCACACACAGTTCATGTTTTATATGGTATAAATTATGAAGCCCTAAAGCCCTTAGCTTTATACTAACAAATAAAAACAAACCTAGCTAGCTCTGTAATTATATCTTCATCACTGTCACTTGATGAAGTAGCATAGTGAGTCTGTGTTGTGATAGCTTTGTTTTATTTACAATATTGAATATAACTCCATACTGAAAGCAAAAAAAACTTAGCTGCAAAGATGGATATTAGAGCGTTTTTCAAAGGGAAAGCTTCAGGTGAGGTTTGTTTAATTTTTAGGGAAATATTGAATAGTTTAAAGGACAGTAGTCCTGAAATAACACACAGTGTTGGTCTGTGACCAGGTAAAAAGATACGGCTGTGATGTCATCAGAGGATCAGAGGCTTTAGTTTGATCCCAGTAATGCAGAATCAAATTAGTCAGAATAAATTTTTTTGTGATCTGACCTTAAGTTTTAAGTTAATAGGTGCTATATTTATTTTATAGTTTACTTCTTGCATATTAAATGTGTCTTATAGTTGACAGCAGTTAAAGAGAAGGAGAATATTGATCAGGGGCAGAGTGAGCGAGAACAGCAGGTAAGATACTAACAACACAAATGTGTATCAATGTCAGAAAACTATGCTACAAATGTTGGTCCAAGCATGAGTTGTGTGAGTGATGGAATTATTATTTCTTATATTTGCTTTGAGGTTGGGGTCATTTTCTTAACAAATACGAGCACAATAGAACAAGCTGATCTTAATATGTGACTAGTTTTTGAGGCTCTACTTTCAACCACTCCAGGATTGCACAGGTATCTGCAAAAAGAGAATGTTGACTTAGCAACGTGTGGAGTGGATCCCTCTCTCAGTGTGGGTCTCCCGGAGGTTTCTTACTGGGTTTTTTTGTAATGAGTTTTTCCTTACGGATGCAGGAGGGTTTGTTGGGCAGTTAGTGTCCAACTAGAAGGACTGTGGTGATGATCCAGGTCACTTTAACATTCTACACCATGTATGACATTTATCAACATTCATGGACATTGGTCGCTCCCTATGGACCAACTCATATTTGTATTTTTTGTGTCTTAACTGTTGATTCTCTGATCTGTGTTGGTGATTTCAGTGGTTTTGAGAAGTCCTCTGAGATGATTTCTGTTGTGATTTAGGGCTATACAAGAATAATTTGCTGTTGTTGTTGTTAGCACATGTCTTAGCTTACAAAGATGCCATTATTGATTCCCTTAAAAAGAAACCAAGTGATGTCACGGCTGCAGATACAAGATTCTGTGTGAGGCAAATGAGATTCCAGAACCTTCTTCAGGTAAACGAGCTAAGGCAAGAAAATTAGATGTTGTGGAATCCTCATGAAGGGCAAGGAGGGAAGGTGATGTCTCCTCAGAGTCTGTGGATTATCAAAGGAAACTTTTGTTCTATTTCATATGTTGCTTCGCCCTTTAGGCTTCGCTAATGCATATCTCTCGGAAGCATCGCTTCCCGCCCCGAGAAGATCAAACGATCCACCCTCCAATCACCTTCACGTCCTGGTGTAGGCCAGTCCCCTATAAATAGGGCCATGCACCACAGCTCTTCTCCTTTCTCTCTCAGCTCGCCTGAGAAACGCTTCGATTCATTTGCTAGGATGTCTTCAAGCAAGATCCCCGCGCCTGAGAACTTGCCACCCTCCGGTGTCAGGCTGCGGATCTGCGACTTGTGCCCAGCGGCACTCTCCCAGACTGACCGCCACGAGTCCAGCGTCTTCTGCCTGGGCTGGCGTCGTGCCGCGGTAGGAAGCCCCAGACGTGTGGCTTGTCTCGTGGATTATTCATGCCGCATAGAGTGGTGCCCTTGGTGGCATCGCTCATGGTGTGCTACCCTCTATCCATGCTGAACAGACGTATAGCTAATACACCACAGATGGTTGCCCTAGCTTAACACATCACTCTTCTTCTTCTAATTAATTCCGGCAGGCTGTACGCTGGCGTGCGCAATGCTGCCCTCCACAGTTATGAGACCGTCAGTACTCTAAATTCTCAAAAAAGTGCCTGTGCGGCGGAGGAATAAAACAATGGCTCTGTTAACTCCTTGAGTGTTTTCACGATTTGAAAAAATTGACTTAAATGAAAAAGAAGTTAGCCCCAAATCAGCCAATTCCACAAATAGTTGTTGTCGTTCCTTGGAGTATTTGCTGCATGACAACAAGATGTGAGAAACGGTCTCCAATGTCTCACAAGTGCACAGTCCATCTGCATGTTTACTTATTCTATACAAAGGAGCTGCAAGTCCACAGTGCCCCAGTCTCATTCTAGTGAGAACCACTTCCTCTCTACGACACTCAGCTACAGGCTGCCAACTATTTTGGACTGATGATTGACATGAATAATAGTCTCCCCCTGGTCTCCCTCTCCCACTCTTTCTGCCACTGACTTTGAAAATATTTTTTACTAATGCTGTAACACTCTTTTTTTCCCCAAATGAAGATGATAATCTATAGCGTCTCTATGAAGTGATTCTTTGGCCAGAGCATCAGCCTTTTCATTTCCCTCCACCCCTGAATGCCCAGGGACCCAAACAAACGAAACAGAGGCACCCACATCCTCAATTTGTTTCAAACAGCACAAAATCTCCAAGAGCATATCTGGCCTGGCATCTGACTCCATACTCCTAAGGGCCAGTAGTGCAGCAGCAGAATCAGAGCAAATAACAGCTTTGCGTTTTTTAATCCACCACAGTGCCCACAATATAGCAAATAATTCAGCAGAAAAGATTGACAGCTCGTCTGTAATACGGACGCTTTGCATAATTTGTAATTGAGCGATATAAATTCCAAAACCCGTTCTTTGCGGCTGCTCTTCTTTAGAACCATCAGTGAAAACTTTGACAACATCTTTTTGCTCATTTAAATACATATTTACATGCCTGGAAGCAGCCGCTTTATCCATACCAAGCAAATCCACATAAACCTCAGGCTCAGGCAACCTCCAAACCTGAACTGGAGACCACACCAACCCCACCACTCTATCCTTCTGCACTCCCAAGTTCTCTGCAACCTTCGCAACATGCATTATAAAACCTCCCTTGTCCTTTTTTTTGCTGAACTCCCAGCACTCATCCAAAAGGCATTTTGCTGCTACACTATTACTGGCCCCGGCCAATCTAGTCCAATACTGAACACTGAGCTTCTCCCGTCTCATTCTTAAAGGAAATTCACCCATTTCCACAAGCAATGCTGGGAAACACATCACTCTTAAGCCTAGTGTATACTTGCGCGGCGTGGCTTACGTTAGCGGTTGCGGTGGACCTACGTAAGCACAATTGATGTTATACTGGCGCGTTCCCCTTACGGATTTTTGAGGAGAATGTTGTAATCCCACAACAAACCACATGAGGGCGATCACACAGGAGCGGTCCCATTTACGCTGCTACTTTGTCCTCTTCAGAACAACAATAGCAAACAAAGCTGTTTGAGCTCATTACACGTGTTTCTACTTTAGGTTTATGTGATAGTTTTATGGATTCATTATTTTATAAGTCATTTCAACTGTGATGCTGTGAATAAAGACACAGTTCTTGTTGGAAACATAATTATTATTAAATAGTTTACAGCACAAACAGCAAAACAATAATAGTGGTAAATATCTGAGACAAACATGAACGATTTACGAGTGCAGGAGGAAAGCAACAAACGCAGCTACGATTCAAACAAGACAGGAACAGATTGTCCACAGTATCCTATATATCAGGCTCTGAGCCCAAACTGCGTTTCCTTCGAAGCACAAAGCTCTCTGCTCCATAGTGCCTCGTCCATTGTCCCTGCTGCAGCCGCTCCGTGCTTCCTTCCAATACACACACACGGACCAATCACAGCGGAGATTCCTTGCGGCGACCCTTACGTAGTTAGAAAATTTCGATGCTGCGTGGCAGGCGACGTAAGGGCCTTGCGGTGACCAACGCGTTGCGCAAGTGACGTCACGTCACCTCCGTAAGCTCCGCGCAGCGCGAGTATACACTAAGCTTTAGTCTGCTCGCTTCATCCCTGGAGTGGTGCCCATGGTGGCTCGCTCATGGTGTGCTACGTTCTGCTCACGCTGGACAGGCGTAATACTACTGCACTACAGATGGTTGCTTAATAACATCACTCTCGGTGCCCATGGTGGCTCGCTCAGGGTGTGCCTCTGCTTCACTATATCAGCCGCGAGGGGATAGGCCCTTGACAGCCCATTCCCCGGCGCTAGCGTATGGAGTATACGCGGGTGCGGAGGCCTGGCCTTGGCGGTCAGGCTTTCCTCCCATAGAGGATGGAGTACGCCTGTACACCAGCTTCCTCTGGGGTCTGGGCTGCCCCCCGCCCGAGCGGGGCAAGCCGGCCGTGTCCATGCTTGACAGGTGTTATGCTTGTGCATCATAGGTCGTTGCTATGGCTTATAACATTACTCTCATCGCTGCATCCCTCGGACAGGGACCACTCTGCCACCTCGCACCGCTCGGAGCCCAGAGGCTCCCTGGGTCCAGTGCGTAGGAGACAGCAAGCGCGTGACAAGCAGAGGAGCAGCAGCCACCCCGGCTTTGCAGCTGCAAGGAGGGGAGGGAAACGCTTTAATAAAGGCCGTCATCAGGCCCGTTACTCCCTCAAAGAGAATACTTCTTTCCCCTTTTCCTTATCCTCAGCGCTTGGCCAACGCTGCTCATCTGCCAAGTGCCTGGAGCCTCTCTCAGCGCGCCTCTCTCAGCTCGCCTCTCGCGCGCGCGCTGGAGGCATGCTCTGGGACCGCTGTGCGCTCCCCGTGCCTTTGCCTCTCTTGGGCAGAGAGTGCTCGGCTGCACGCTACCCTCCTACGCTCTCTGTGCGCCACGAGCGCCAGCTCACAGCTGTCCTGCCCTCACGCTGCTACCCGGTAAAAGCCAGGGCCGCAGCTAGGGCTCAGACCCTTTTCCAGCGGCCCCCCACTATCCAGAGCAATGAGTGGTACTGCTCTCCCCCCCCCCTCAGTCCACAGTGTTGGGGAGCGGGGGCTCGGCTCCACGTAAGCGCAGCACACCTGCCCTCACGTGGCCACCCAGATCCTTGTTTGGATTGTATGCTGGCTGAACTTGAGAAGAGGTTTTCTGGTGTTAGTCAGATGTTGCTTCAAGGTGTTTAGGCATGCAGTTTTTTGTCTGAGCATGATTTGTCATCACTGGCCCAACATTATCACATTGATCTGAGGACAGAAGAAGTGATAGTCGCTAAAAATTACCTTAAGCACAAGAGTGAGGCAATGCCAATGCCAGACATGCTCTCAGTGTACAACCTCTTGGTTTTACAGGTTGCATTCCTGTCAGCAGCTAAGCTCTTAGTTGACAACGACCTCTGGTCAAAGTAGGATTCACAACCTGGCAGTTATGTCATTTGAAAAATAAGTTCTTGACAAAATGGACAGATTTACACGACTCAGAGTGAGGGGCCACAGATTAACTCTTTAAGAATCAGGCCGTGTTAATTGCAGTATGCTGCAATTCAGAATTTATTGTAAGATACGTTGTAAGAGCGTGTCATTTTTGTAACTAATTTTGCAGTTTGTTGTACGTTGTACTCATGAGCCAGTCTGTTCTAATTAAGTATTTTTGTACTATTACAATAAATTTCCCTCATATTGAAATTCCATCTACCTATGCCCCTCCCACCCCAAGGTGCTAAGCACCCCTGAAGCTGAAAGTCTAAAATTGCCCCTGGTCTCAGGGTTCTGTTTAAAGCGCAGAGAGAACCATGAAGACAAAGGAACACACCAGGCAGGTCCGAGATACTGTTGTGGAGAAGTTTAAAGCCGGATTTGGATACAAAAAGATTTCCCAAGCTTTAAACATCTCAAGGAGCACTGTGCAAGCAATTATATTGAAATGGAAGGAGTATAAGACCACTGCAAATCTACCAAGACCCGGCCGTCCCTCCAAACTTTCATCTCAAACAAGGAGAAGACTGATCAGAGATGCGGCCAAGAGGACCATGGTCACTCTGGATGAAGTGCAGATAACTACAGCTGAGGTGGGAGAGTCTGTCCATAGGACAACAATCAGTCATGCACTGCACAAATCTGGCCTTTATGGAAGAGTGGCAAGAAGAAAGCCATTTCTCAAAGATATCCATAAAAAGTCTCGTTTAAAGTTTGCCACAAGCCACCTGGGAGACACACCAAACATGTGGAAGAAGGTGCTCTGGTCAGATGAAACCAAAATTGAACTTTTTGGCCACAATGCAAAACGCGTGAAAGCAACACAGCTCATCACCCTGAACACACCATCCCCACTGTCAAACATGGTGGTGGCAGCATCATGGTTTGGGCCTGCTTTTCTTCAGCAGGGACAGGGAAGATGGCTAAAATTGATGGGAAGATGGATGGAGCCAAATACAGGACCATTCTGGAAGAAAACCTGTTGGAGTCTGCAAAAGACCTGAGACTGGGACGGAGATTTATCTTCCAACAGGACAATGATCAAAAACAAAGCCAAATCTACAATGGAATGGTTCACAAATAGACGTATCCAGGTGTTAGAATGGCCAAGTCAAAGTCCAGACCTGAATCCAATCGAGAATCTGTGGAAAGAGCTGAAGACTGCTGTTCACAAACGCTCTCCATCCAACCTCACTGAGCTCGAGCTGTTTGCAAGGAAGAATGGGCAAGAATTCCAGTCTCTCGATGTGCAAAACTGGTAGAGACATACCCCAAGCGACTTGCAGCTGTAATTGCAGCAAAAAGGTGGCGCTACAAAGTATAAGCGCAAGGGGGCCGAATAATATTGCACGCCCCACTTTTCAGTTTATTTGTTAAAAAAGTTTAAATCCAATACATTTTGTTCCACTTCACGATTGTGTCCCACATGTTGTTGATTCTTGACAAAAAATTTAATGTTTATATCTTTATGTTTGAAGCCTGAAATGTGGCGAAATGTTGAAAGGTTCAAGGGGGCCGAATACTTTCGCAAGGCACTGTATCTCATAATATCCTCAGTAACAGTTGTGTTTTCTTGTTTTCAGTGACAGAGTTGCTGCAGCTCTGTGACGTGGTGCGGGACGACACTTTACCAGAACTTGGTGTCAGACTTGAAGACCACGAAGGTAATCCTTCTTTGTGAAAGCTGTAGTTCCCTGACAGCTGTGGATGAGACAGGCTGTTTAGCTATAATCTGGTGCAGAACATATCTGTCTTTGAGCTTAATGGCTCTGTACACTGTCCCTTCAAAAATAGACTAAACTAAACAAAATTTAGGCTGCAGTTCTGTGTGTAGCCTCTAGTACATGTGGAGTCTGGTTTAGCGTAATATCCCACATGTATGAGGGCGACGAGAGCGGATTTACACCAATGTCTTTGCTTCTATGAGTGTTAAAGTATGAGAAATCTATCTGCTCTGTCCAGGTCTGCCCACTGTGGTGAAGCTGGTCGACCGAGAAACGCTGCTGAAGGAGAAGGAGGAGAAGAAACAGGTGAAACTGTTATTTCTTGTTGTTTTAGATTTCTTTTGAGGTGAAACCAAATCAATTTGTTTAAGTATCAGTCACCACAACAATATCAAAAATTTAGAACACTGAGAGAGACCAGAGAGAGACCAGAGAGAGACCAGAGAGAGACCAGAGAGAGACCAGAGAGAGACCAGAGAGAGACCAGAGAGAGACCAGAGAGAGACCAGAGAGAGACCAGAGAGAGACCATCTAACTCAACTTAACTGGGGTTGGCCGTTAGATGTAAAGCTAAATGCTCTAATTAAAAGTCCCCTATATTGAGATGCATATCCTATTTAACCTTGAGGATCAGCCCGAGCCCAGAGCAGAACATTTCACATTTTCCAGCAGAAAAAAACGGTTTAAAACTGTGTATTTTGTTTTTGTTCAGTTGGAAGAAGAGAAGAAGAGGAAGAAGGAAGAGGCGGCAAAAAAGAAACAAGAGCAGCAGGTGTGGCCTCGGGAGTAGATTGTGGATGTAAACACCTAGCACACAAAGGTCTGAGATCTGTGTGTGGTGTGTTTCAGATGGCTCTTCTGGCAAAGATGAAGATCCCTCCATCACAGATGTTCCGCTCCGAGACTGACAAATATTCAACATTTGATGAAACGGTATTACTGTCACTCTGACCAGACAGGGGGTCCGGAGAGGGGGACCGGAGTGGGTTTCAGAAGTAGTCGTACCAGCAGTAGCAGTAGATGTCAACTCAGGCCCAAACACTCTCAGACCCTACACCTTGCTCCTTGATCTTTTAAAAATTTATTCTGGTTTTAACGCATTCCTAAGAGCAGCTCGACTGAGACACACTGATTTTAAGTTGCCCTGAATGCGACATACAATGTTTAAACAAAACAACATCCTCCTTTTCAGGGCTTTCCAACCCATGATGCCGAAGGGAAGGAGCTGAGCAAAGGCCAGGCCAAAAAACTGAGGAAACTCTACGAGAATCAAGAAAAACTGCACAAGGATTATCTGCAGACGAACCAGAATGAAAACTGACCCTTAGGCCACAGACTGACCAGAACAAGACCTGACCCACCTCCACAGACTGACCAGAACGAGAGCTGACCCACAGGCTGACCAGAACGAGAACTGACTCAGACTGACCAGAACAAGACCTTTCCCTGACCCCGCAGACCAACCAGAACAAGAACTGACTCTCAAGCCACAGACAGACCATCTCTGTGATACAGGAAGTTGTAAAACTGTTTCAAGTCTTTTTCTGCGGTGAAAGGCCATGGCTTCACAACTTGGTATGGAGTTCTCTTCTCTTTTTTTTGCAAATCTTAAAAACAATGCGTCAATACACAATATAAAACCACCGTCTCAATAAAAACCATCAATGTAAGAAACTCTGATTTTATGTCTCATGTTGAATGGTTTTCAATGTATTTGTGTGTCGTCCTAAATCACATTTATGTTGTGTTCCACTCCCCATGTTGCCACCAGAGGGAACAACGTCTGCAGGCAGAGCTCCCAAACATGTAGGGCTGGTAGAAATTTATCTTAATTTTATAATCTGCTGGTACAGCTCAGTCCATGCGTTATGACACCCAATGCTGCGAAAATGTACTTGATCCAACTTGCACATCTCCACACAGTCATTACAGCAGTGTTTTTCAACCACTGTGCCGCGGCACACTAGTGTGCCGTATGATATTGTCTGGTGTGCCGTGAGAAATTCGTCTACTTTGTCTAAAAATAGCTGCATTCGCTGTTGACGAGCGGTGACTTGTTTTGAACTGTGAGTAACCATGTAATACTTTTTCAAATCAGTAGATGGCAGCAGATAGCTAAGTACTTTGAAACTGAAAAATTGGATGCGACCACTGGCTGTAACAGGTCAGCATTGTGGCGAGAAAGGTAAAATTGGATGCGACCAACAAATGTGGGAGGGAGCGAGACAAGAGCTTTGTGGCGAGTGAGAAGTGAAAGTGATAGAGACGTTTTTGAAAATGAATTATGCCGTTTCTGAACAGGATTAACATCCTCCGCTCTGCCCCGGGGTAGCTGTGGCCGCGTTGTAGTGGTTTAACTATGAAATGTACCATTTTTGTACAACAGCTCTCGCGAACGCACTTCTGAACTGGGTACCGAGCGCAGACCGTAGTCGAGTGGACAGAACCACAGACATGCGGACCGGACAGAACCATGGACTCGCGTTCAGGACCTCCCGTGTCCCTCATCCAAAACTCCTGAATTTAAAGCTCGGATACCAAAATGTTTCCCATGCACTAACAATGCATGTTCTTTGTGTGAGTTATTATTTGACTATTTGGGCAGAGAGTGGATTTTCTTAGTTTTTTTCCACACAGTTAGTGCCACTTTATTCCCAAACTCTTGTTAATTGTATCGAGAAATATTAAATAAAGCTTAATGTCAAGGCCTGGACTTAAGCATTTTGTTGAGAATAACTGTATATTGTGAATATAGGCTACAGAGTATACTGTATACATTATAAGATAAGATATACTTTATATATCACACAGAGTATGTACAGTATATATTTTTTTACATTAGTACTGTATACATTTTTACATTTTTCTCCTGGAGGTGTGCCGCAAGATTTTTTCAGTGAAAAAAGTGTGCCTTGGCTCAAAAAAGGTTGAAAAACACTGCATTACAGTATTGGCCGGGAGCCAGACCCCCTCCACAAAATATATTTTGCTTTGTTTTTATAACTATTATTTTATGTTGTCTTTTACTTTGACCCATAACGAGTTGATAGGGGGCTAGAAAAACCAAAATCATTGCAAAATGATGTATTGTAAATCTGAAGGTGCTGAACCCACATACGTTGTCGTATCAATCTAAAATGTGCATGGGGGAAACTATGAAAAAAAGATTTTTAAGTTTGCTACAAATTAATTAAAGAAATGAGCACAAACAAAAATCTTTCCGCCGGACAAATAGACATCCTAAATGATCATTTTTAAACATTTAATTGTACATAGAGTGCCTTGCGAAGGTATTCGGCCTCCTTGAACCTTTCAACATTTCGCCACATTTCAGGCTTCAAACATAAAGATATAAAAATTTATTTTTTTGTCAAGAATCAACAAGTGGGGCACAATCGTGAAGTGGAACAAAATTTATTGGATAATTTAAACTTTTTTAACAAATAAAAAAAAGTGGGGCGTGCAATATTATTCGGCCCCCTTGCGCTAATACTTTGTAGTGCCACCTTTTTGCTGCAATTACAGCTGCAAGACGCTTGGTGTATGTCTCTATCAGTTTTGCACATCAAGAGACTAGAATTCTTGCCCATTCTTCCTTGCAAACAGCTCGAGCTCAGTGAGGTTGGATGGAGAGCGTTTGTGAACAGCAGTCTTCAGCTCTTTCCACAGATTCTCGATTGGATTCAGGTCTGGACTTTGACTTGGCCTTTCTAACACCTGGATACGTATTTCTGAACCATTCCATTGTAGATTTGGCTTTATGTTTTGGATCATTGTCCTGTTGGAAGATAAATCTCCGTCCCCGTCTCAGGTCTTTTGCAGACTCCAACAGGTTTTCTTCCAGAATGGTCCTGTATTTGGCTCCATCCATCTTCCCATCAATTTTAGCCATCTTCCCTGTCCCTGCTGAAGAAAAGCAGGCCCAAACCATGATGCTGCCACCACCATGTTTGACAGTGGGGATGGTGTGTTCAGGATGATGAGCTGTGTTGCTTTTACGCCAAACATATCGTTTTGCATTGCGGCCAAAAAGTTCGATTTTGGTTTCATCTGACTAGAGCACCTTCTTTCACATGTTTGGTGTGTCTCCCAGGTGGCTTGTGGCAAACTTTAAACGAGACTTTTTATGGATATCTTTGAGAAATGGCTTTCTTCTTGCCACTCTTCCATAAAGGCCAGATTTGTGCAGTCCACGACTGATTGTTGTCCTATGGACAGACTCTCCCACCTCAACTGTAGTTATCTACAGTTCATCCAGAGTGATCATGGGCCTCTTGTCTACATCTCTGATCAGTCTTCTCCTTGTTTGAGATGAAAGTTTGGAGGGACGGCCGGGTCATGGTAGATTTGTAGTGGTCTGATACTCCTTCAATTTCAATATAATTGCTTGCACAGTGCTCCTTGAGATGTTTAAAGCTTGGGAAATCTTTTTGTATCCAAATCTGGCTTTAAACTTCTCCACAACAGTATCTCGGACCTGCCTGGTGTGTTCCTTTGTCTTCATGGTTCTCTCTGCGCTTTAAACAGAACTGAGACTATCAAAGAGCAGGTGCATTTATACGGAGACTTGATTACACACAGGTGCATTCTATTTATCATCATCAGTCATTTAGGACAAAATTGGATCATTCAAAGATCCTCACTGAACTTCTGGAGCAAGTTTGCTGCACTGAAAGTAAAGGGGCCGAATAATATTGCACGCCCCACTTTTCAGTTTTTTATTTGTTAAAAAAGTTTAAATTATCCACTAAATTTCGTTCCACTTCATGATTTTGTCCCACTTGTTGATTCATGACAAAAAATTTAAATTTTATATCTTTATGTTGGAAGCCTGAAATGTGGCGAAATGTTGAAAGGTTCAAGGGGGCCGAATACTTTCGCAAGGCACTGTATCATGCCTCAAATGTTATTTAAAAACTGCCCAGACTCATAAGCTCAAATTTAAGTCTAAGGTCACCTTTCTATCTAGAAGATTTCAGATTTTGTGACCAAAGTTTTTCTCTAAACCTCAAATCGGAGAAAGCTGAACTTTGATGCATTTCCCTTCCCTATATGGGATCGGCCAGGTTTCTTTCATATTCGAACATAAAAGATTAGACTTGGCTTATATACTGTTTTATTATAGCAAGTGAATTAACTGAAAAGCCAGTATTTTTAAGGCTCAACCACAGAATCAATAACCAAATGGGAGATTTCATAAAGGACAATGAACATATAAGGCATATAGACATCTCTCACTGCAGTAGAGCTATCCCTCTTCTTTTCTTACATAAAATCTAAAAGTTTTCTTTGGTACTTGGTTTATGCTTCTTTAGTTCATTTGGTTTATTTGGTTTATTGCTTATATATGCAGTACCCTAGCCCTAACTCTAGGGTAACTCATAACAGTGTTTTAATGTAGATCAGTGCTTCCCATTGTGGGGTCTGGGGGTCCTCAGGCACGTAACCAGAGTTCAGAAATGAAAGCAAATGTACATGCATTTCATCGTAATTGTTACACATGTACTACTTTTTGCAACTTAAATCATCATGTTTAAGTGTTTTAGTTGAAGTCTAATGTAATTGTAAAGTGTTATTTGATATTGAGGGCGCCTAGGAGATCTTTGGAGCAGTAACTGTGCCTTATCAGGATAATTCATACTTGGCCATACACAATTGGCGGCCAGGTGGGGCACAGGTTAGCACTTGTGCTCCACAGCGCAAGGGTCCTGGGTTTGATTCCACCTTCAGGACAGGACCTTTTGGTTATTCTCCCTGTGTCTGCGTAAGTTTCCTACGCAGGTTTCCGGGTGCCATAGTTTCCCCTACCACTAAAAAACTAAACTAAAAAATCTGTCACAGGTTTAAAAGTGTCTGTTGAGGGGGTGTGATCAATAAAAAGCAGAAGGGGATAAAATTTAATAAAATATTTACAAAGGTCAATTAAAAAAATGATAAAAGCCCAGAGTCGCTCCTCCGCTCTTCTCTGCCCCGGGACCGTGCCGCAGTCTCGCCAGCCACTCGCCGATTGCTTTAATGGCTTTAATCCGCGAATTGCTTTAAAAGTTAAATATGAACGAATTAAGACACGAATGTCACTTTTAATGCAATTTGAGGCGACATGTTGATGGTTCTGCGTTGTGATATGTGTGTTTTAAGAGTAAGAGTTTCGTGTAAAGTTTGTTTTAAGCAGTCCACCGATCCTGTGACACTACACTGCTGTGTGCCCAAATCTAATTTGCGCATGCGCAGAAACCCGCCAGAAAGGGGGAAAAAACTCTATCTAATTAAATACTGTGTTTGAACACACTATTGTTAATCACATTGAATATAGTATGATAC